GTTGTGTTTAAGGACAGGTAACTCAGGTGTGAAAAATGACCAACTTAGTGCCGATTTATGAGTTATCGTTTATAGGTATGACATAAAGGCTGCTTCAGCATTGATATTGTTATATACACAAAAGGGTTCCTTACATTGTTTTGTACACAAAAAGTTTTGACCAAGAGAAAGAGAATGCCTTCATTCTACCTGAAATAACAGGGTCAAATGAATGGGGAACAGACTATATTCAATAGTTTTAACTCTCTTTGACGATTATCATGAAGAAGAAAATTTAATGTCATGTTTTTTGTGTTCGCGCTTTTTCGCTTCCTATATAAATACATATATTTTTACAAGTAAATGCAACAATTGATCATCTTATTTGTGTTACTAAGCACGAAGGGGAACGACCGAGTATAAAAATTTAATTAGGTTAGAACTGAGAAGGAGGGTAGATTTCACTTTTTATTTTAATTAAAAATTTTAATTATATGCAGTAAACCGGTGTTCGCAACTATACAGTAAATAAGTTTAACATTGGTGCTAAATTTTAAAAGCACTGGATTCTACTGAGAGCAAAGAAACACTTGGTAAACAGGTAAATGCTAAAAACTGCCTTGCGTGTAAACAGTTAGATACCCCGAGCCTGCTCTAAACAAGTTTCAGCAGTGAGTTATCGTTCATAACACCGACCCCTAGCGGCAGTTGAAAGGCCTACATATACAACTACAACTGCTACCAGAAATTAAATCGGTTTTATTTTTATTAAATTTAATTTTAGATTTCCAAATATTTAATTTGTTTTGTAGATAAAGACATGTTGATAGAATTATATTTAAAAAATGAACTTAAAAATCTTATGACTATATCTTGTAATTATAAGTAAGTTGTTTAATTACTTTGTTAAAAATCATTCTGATTCTCTGCACAACTATTCTGAACTTGATATTAAAATTATGTTAACATTTAGAAATTGTTCATCCCTTTCGTTATTAAGCTTGGTTGTTAGATAACCATTAACGTCTAATTAAGTAAAATATCTAAATATGAAACATATGTGTCAGACTCTGTCATATCTTTTTTTTCAAATTCACCGATATATATATCATTTAATATATCATAAGAATGGAAATAACCATTGTTTATGGACAATACTTCGTATAGATATATCTAAATGTTCAGTTGAAGACCATAACAAGTGGAGTTTTTTATTTTTTCACGTATCAGATTTTGCACAAATTCTGCTTCATATGAACACAAAAATAGGTCTGCAAATAATGGGGCGCAATTGGTACCCATTGGAATTCCAAAAGATTTTAGAAAGACCTGGTCTCCAAAAACCATACAGATATTGTTAATCAGAAACTCAAGCATCTTTTACTACATGTATCAACTTCAGAATACTTGTGTGTACAATCATAATGATTTTAGCAAAATAATTTTGCAAATGACCAATGATAAGGTACCTAACTTTACGAGTTCCATTTTTATTGAAAAAGCAGCTGTCAATGATATAAAAAAAGCCCGGAATTTAATTTACTGTGGGGAATGGTTGAATACAAAGTTGAAAAGTCGTAAGATGTTATGCTATTGATTTTGATAAAATTGAAAATTTGTGATTTCAAAATTTCCAAAAGTTCCTTGATTTTTTTTTTTTAGTATCCACAATCCACATCTGATTAACAACACCTCTCAAATATATTATAGCACTGTACTTCTGAAGTTTCTCCTTTACTACTTTTGATATTTGAGTGAAGAGTGTAGAAAGAGGCTTGGAAGAACTTTTACTTGAACCCGCTATGTATCTTCGTTAAGATTTTTGTGATGTTTTGATATCCAAAATAAATAGGACATGCAATTCACATTCATTCTGAGTGTTGAGAATACTGAATACTAAAAAACTGGAAACTGAAATATTATTTTGAAGAATGTCCTCCTGAGAAAGGAGGCTATGGGTATATAAGTTGGATAACTACTAGTATAATAAAATCCCAATTCCTCTAAAATACAATTTAAATAATGAGCCTTACAAACAAAAACAATCCTGTTACCCGCTTTGTCAGTAGGAAACAGTACAATACTGATCTTGTTATCAATCTATTTTTTTCACTTCTGAATTACTGAACACAGAGGGATTATGGCACGCCAAATTCACAAAAATGAGATAATCATAGTTTCACAATCGAAACTAGGTTTATCGGTTGTAAACTATAGTTTACAAACCGTAAACTATAGTTAACAACGTTAATCTATTTTTCACATCTGTAAACTATAGTTAACGCGATAATCTAAGTTTCACAACCGTAAACTATACTTAACACCGAAAACAATCATTTGCGATTGCAAAACATAGATTATCTGATAAATACAGTTTCACGATTTGTAAACTATAGTTTACAAACCGTTAACTATAGTTAAGGATCTGATAAATATAGTTTCACAATTTTTGAAACTATGATTAACAACTCTTAACTATAGTTTACGATTGTAAACTATAGTTTACAAACGTGAATCTATGTTTATCAACAAAATCTATTGTTAACGCTTTATTACAGACAGATAAACTTAAATTTACATTCGTAAACTGTAGTTAACAACCGTTAAATATAGTTTTACAGATGAAAACTATACTTAACGAATCGTTAACTATACTTAACGAATCGTTAATTATAGTTTACTTTTTGTAAACTATAGTTTACAGTCGATAAACCTAGTTTATCAATTGTGAAACTATGATTATCTCATTTTTGTAAATTTGGCGTGCCATAGAGGGATAGTTGCATGGTTTTCATTTTGCCCTTTATTAGATTTTATCTTGGATCTGTTAGGTTTGACAACCACTGACAACCATTACTTACTGGTAGCAATTTCAGCAGTTTTAATCTCTACCCTGAGAACTTAAAAAATAAACATTGAAAGTTTTAAACATCCTTGTTAGATATTACATTAAACCAAGCCTGGGAAATTGACCGAAATATAACTGTCAGCAAAGTTGTAAAGATGTCTTTAGCCATAAACTGGAATTATTATAAATATTAAGAGTAAAATATTTTCTTTACTGTTAGACATATTGAGATTTTTATGGGTAATGCGTGCAATAAAACCATTAAAAGAGTATTAGGTTACTTAAAAATAAAAATATTCAATGAATGTAATAGGATAACTGCATATGACGAAATGATTTTATTGGTATTGACTTATACTATAAAGGGTAAAAATAAAACAGGAAGTTTTCATGATATCTTATAAGCACGTTTACAAACTGTACAAACTCAAGCATATTGTAAACTTAAACAAAAAGCCCTTTAATCTTTACATAGAATCAGTACGAAGAATTCATTTGCACAGTGATTTAGATTACTCTATTTTTTTTCAAACTGAGATACATACGTTATTTAGAAAAAAAAAACCTTGCTTCCAAAAATAAATCCTATTCGTCTTCATTGAATATGCTTTTTCTTTGTGCGTGAGATTCTAAACCTCTAAATACATGTATATTGCTAACTCGTTTCAATCACACCCGTGAATTTGAAATCACAACGTAAACAGTTCATTTGATTCACGAACTATACACGATAAGAGCCAACTGAAAAATATACTGTATGACAAACGAGATGATTTCAGCTTTTCCATCGTCAAGTTTATTTATTTATGCAGTAATACTCTACTGTCACCAGTATGGGTTTTATTTATCATAACTTATTTCGATAATTAAGGGTATGCTATGAGTAATCAATTTTTAAACCGAGGCAGACTACTGACTGATAAGTTCATGTGACAGGGATTTCGATTATCTCGACAGTCGAGCGTTGAAGCATTTCGAAAATTCTATCGTCGTTATAATAGAATTAATTGTTAGTAAATATAATATAATACAGTAGGCTGGAGCGGTAGACACGAGATGCTTATTTCACTTACGAACCTGATTCTATCTTTGGAATATCCACAGTCCGTGTTCCGTGTTTTATATCCTGTTCACAGATTATTTTCTAAAAGATCGAATTTTGCTCTTTATCTTCACCAATGGATGTTCACTGATTCCAAATAATTCTGTTCTCAGTACTAGTGTACTTTCTCTCTGACATATTTTCTATTTATCATGCGGTAGATATATGCATTATGACTATAACTTTCAGTAGTCATAATGCCAGCATATTTTTATTGATAAAAAGAAAACATGTCAGGAAGACAGTACTTTCAAGAGTTCTGTAAATTTCTTAGATAGAGATTAAGAATTTCAAAGTATTTCGTATTTTATTCGTTTCTTTGTGGGTTTTTTGATAATATCGTAAGCTGTTTAATTTAATTATCTGAAATATTCTTCCAATTTTATTCTATAGTGTTATTGTTGATAATTGCTTTTATTATTGATATGTTCTTATGTGATACCTTGAAATATTTTTTCTCGAAACTTTTAGAAAAGACTTTGAGTTTAGATTATGTCATAATGCACACAGATAATTGTGCAATTAAGATGAAGGTACTTGGATAAAAAAAAAATCGCAATGTCATTCTCATATTTTAGAATTATGGTCCGTACATAGTACTCCGTACTTTATTTTCTTACTGACTATAATTAGACTAATTTGAATGGGGGGGGGGGGGGTAAAAGAAGCGTAACCGACAGTGGGTTTCCGACGATGTTAAATCTAACAAGCTCATTCAGAGAATCTGTTTTTTCCTGCAAAAAGGTACCGCAGGTAATCTTCAGTAAGGTTACCCAAAAAGTTAGCTTTTTTTTTTAATTCCATTTTGGCATTAATTTGTTTTCCTTCGTACAAAAAGACAGCAAAAAAAAAAAAAAAATAATAAATAAATTCTGGTAGCATATTGCGAATTAATTTTAGTCCCTGCGAGGGTCTTCTGACTGCTATTTTTATTTTTATGTCACCTCTGGCTATCCGTATATTGGAAATATTTTTCCGGATTAATAATGTCCATTCAAAACCGTATAATTTTGTTTTAAAAGAAACAAATTTATTTAAAGAAATGGAAATTTTAAAAAAAAAAACGGGAAACAAGAATAAAAGAGTTGTTATAATTTTGGAGTGTCCTTTCATAAATAGGCCTAGAGCAAATCCCACTTCCGCGAGATTTCGACGCCATTACAGTCGATGAACGACGAAAAAGGAGGAGGGGACTAGAAAATGGTGAATTGTTTTGTTTATTTGATTCTGTTCAGCAACATTTAGAGATCACATGAACTAATAGTACAATTACCCATCGAAATGTTTGACCAAATTCTTCACTGCATTAGGAGGTTAATGCATTCTAAACATTTTACTTGGGGGTGGTCTTCCGAGAAGAAGTTAATCACATGACAGAAAATAATAAAGAATCGATATAGCTTATCATATTCTATGGCTGATGATGTACATATTTTTAATGTGTCTTATAGTGTAAGACATTGATGCCTCACATCTTATTTGTGTATGACAAATATGAATTCAAAATATCCAAATGTGAAAGTACCTGGAAATTTGATTAGCTCGAATTTCCTCAAACGTCAGAGAGTATCCAATGTTCATGTTGTTTATAAAAATAAGCAATCGCTATGGTCAAAAAGGAAATGTATGATATAAAATCCAATATAATATTATACTTTATTCAATTCATTATAGAAATAGAATTTTAGAATTGAAGACTTATTTTCTACAATGATTGAAGGCTTTATTAATGATTGATTGACTGTTAATAACAAGTTGATGGTGCATCCATTTGGACAAACCCTGTTGTATTACTTGACACGTTCACTTCTGACTTGGGGAGCCACCTCTTCAATACAGATGAGAGAGATGCGAGAAATTTAATTATTCAACTTTATGTCTGTGTGAATTTTAAATTTCCTAAACTTTCAAATTTATTCAATTATCGGTTTTTTTTAAATTTATTTATTTTTAATATTATTTTTAATATTATTAATAATACAATTAGTTATTTTTATCTGAATTTATGAATTAAACTTAGTGCTTAATTTTATTACATGTACTATCATATGACTTTTATTTATTTATTTATTTATAATACAATATTTATTTTTGTTTCTCTTAATGCAATCATATTGCTTTTCAAGTTGCTATTTTTCTTTAACATTCTAAAGAAACTATAAATTCTTAAAATTTGTAATTCTTAAAATTCATTTTATCTGTCATAATTTTTGTATGTGTATATATGTACATGTGTTTTTGCATGTAAACTTATGTCGTAAATGTTTTATTGTGATATTTTAACTGTGATAGTCGGTTTAAGAGCTCTACAGAGCTCATGTTTATTGTTATGTATGTATACAATGCCGACTTTAAATAAAATTTACTTACTTACTTACTTACTTATGTTCATGTGTGGCTACAATTTTTTATTTGTACTTTTGTAGAGTTTCTTTGGATTCGGCCCTAGTGCCGACATCGATATAGTGCTAGATGGACAGGATACTAGAAAAACTGCTGAAATCAAAACAGAAGATGGCAAAAAAGAAAGACATTTTTTATACTATGATGGAGAAACAGTAGCTGGGAAGGTAAACTGAGAATGAAGTTCATGTTTTAATGTTTTCATTCATCCAATACACTTTAGTGAAATGTAGTTGTGTGGTGCAATAAAATTTTTTTTTATCCATAAGAAATATGATGGAGCAATTATTGAACATGTCCTCATAGAAACTGCTTAAAAACATAAGTAAGCAAAATATGGATATTGGTATATATTTACCACATTGACATCAGAGAGATATTTTGTGTGTGTACACTCTACACTGGTTAATTGCTCATTTGGTGGTCCAAATTTGTTTTTTTTTTTAACCTATGCTATGCACACAACTCTGTGATACTAGTAAATACAATCATAACAATCCATAATGTCATCAAAGTTTCAAATGTATGAAAACTTAATTGTAGGTAAATATTACAATGAAAAAGGCTGGAAGTAAAATGGAACATCAAGGCATAAAAATAGAATTTATAGGTCAAATAGGTAAGAGAAATAAGCTTAATTTGCTGTATAGGAGTTAGAAAATTTGTTGCTCTTGAAGAATATTGACGACTAAAGCTCATAAGGCCATAATAAATAAATTGCTAGATTCTCATCTGGTTTTTTTTTTTAATGAGGCGGGCGGGCGGCTTTTATTTTATATTTTTTATTTTTTCAATTTTGCAGATTTTTTATCGACCTGGTCAATCAGTGTAATTTTATCTACAATACCCAAATAAAAGTCATAGTAAAGGTTCAGTTATCTCTTACTTCACATCATCACCAATCTTTTTCAACCAATGACCCTTTTTTAAAATATATACGCATGTATTACAGCAATTACCATCTTTTCAGCTGTCAAAATCATGTCGACTTTCGCTGGATTTAAAACGAAAGTAGAATGGTAGATGAATACCAATCCCGATCAGAAATAAGACGAAGAAAAACAGAAATTTAAAAAATCGAGGCGGGGGTATAAAAAAGAATCTAGGAATATTTTTATTATGGCCTAACATGAATTTTCTTTTAAACTTAATTCTTTGGAGCACTGGTATTTTGTGCCAGAATTGATGATAATTAGATGAAGTAAATAAAGAGATTAAGTGTGACAAAAATTTTAAATCGTAGTTTGTGGATTGTAACTTCGGATTAATTTATTGTAGAATTATATTATGACCGGGGAAATCACCATGAATTTACCTCTCTTGTCAAAGAGCTGGCTCGGCCAGGAGAGATAACCGGGAACACAACCTTTGGTTTTGAGTTCCAGCAGGTTGAGAAACCCTATGAGTCATACACAGGTGCCAATGTTAGGTTACGGTAAGTCAGCGGATATATAAGGTGCCAAAAAGTATTCATTTTGATAATTACTTCATGTTCAAGTCTTCTCAGCAGGGAAAATGAAGAATATGAGAAAAGGGTATTTTTATTGTAAGGAGTGTTATTTAAATAATAATATTTGTGTTTGTTCACAATAAAGAATTTACATTTTACAAGTCATATAAACAAGTTTCAGTATTAAAATGAATTTGATACATTGAAAGAACTTGCAATTTATTTTTGTCTGCTTTTGAGCAGGTACTTTTTACGAGTGACCATAGTGAAGAGATTGTCAGATACTGTGAAGGAACAGGATATTATTGTACACACGTTATCACAGTACCCAGAAATGAATAGCAGCATAAAAATGGAAGTCGGAATAGAAGACTGTCTACATATAGAATTTGAATATAATAAATCCAAGTGAGTATCGCATGATGATATGTTGAATCAGAGTTGAGATGAACAAAACACAGGCTGTAATTTTCAAGCTTTAGTAAATTCAAGAAATGTGAAAAATTTTCAGTGACATGTAAGGATGTACAAGATATGTCCATTGTAAAATATTCATAGTATTTAAGATTATTTGGATAAATATTTCCAGCTCTCTCAAGTTAAAGTATGCTATATGTTTTTCTCTTCATGCTTAATTGAGGTACCATTTAAAGGATGTAATTGTTGGGAAAATTTATTTTCTGCTGGTTCGCATAAAAATTCGCTACATGGAACTAGCAATAGTCAGGCGTGAAACCACAGGAGCAGGTGATCTTACATAGGAGAGCTGTGATCTTGTGGGGAACTCCCAAATTCTGATAACAGATTACTTCAGAGTTTATATGATTTATAGAAATTAATTTTAAATAAATTTCATCCTAATTTAAAATGCAGTTTAGTCAATCAAAATGTATGTTTCACTTTTCAATTTTACCTGTTTTACTATACATGATTTCTTAACGTCAGAATTACTGAATTGAACACAGAAAATTCCTTTTTGCAATGATTAAAAAAAAAACTACAAAATTAATTTATGCCTGCTCAGTTTGTTATCAGAAATATTGGAAAGCTTGCTCACAAACATTTGGTTATGCCTATACGTATATGTTGTGACATTTTGTTTCAAACATAATTTTTTGATTTCTGTTACCTGCTTAAAAGTGATATATATATATATACATTCACTTGTACATTTATGGGTTGGTTATTTTTATTTGTTTTCAGTGCCTGACATTATTTTGACAGTGTCTATATGTCATTGTTTTGTATTTAATTAGTTCAAGTTTTCTATGAAGACGGCAAAATTGAGTTACTCTTAGGCCTGTTTTTTTTTTTTTTTTTTTTTTTTTTTAAATTTTGTTTTTGTTTAGTTATGATTGATTTATTTACACAGGTACCACTTGAAGGATGTGATAGTGGGGAAGATATACTTCTTATTAGTACGAATAAAAATCAAGCATATGGAAATTCAAATTATCAAGAGAGAAAGCACAGGGACAGGTATTATTTTACCACACAACTGCACTGTTTGACATTTCACAATAAACAGTAGAGTAGAAATTTAACATAATTAAATGAGCTATACTGTATTTGACATTTCAACATAAACATTAGGATAAAAATTTAACAGAATTTGAAGAAGGGCGTTTTAATGGAATTGGAAGGGATACATTGTTATACTTTGATAATTGCATACTTTGGCATCTCTCGTGAGAGTCCCTGAAGAGAGATTTGTAACAAATTGTTTTGTCACCCAGCTGACTGTAGCTGTATCAAAGCTGACATATGTATCAGAAGTTTAGAATTGAGAATATTGACATGTTAACATTCACATCTTCTTTTATACATTTTAGTTTTAAAAATATTCAGAAACACTCCCAGTCACATATAAACAATCTTAGTTCAAGTTGAATATACTCATTTAGATAAGAACCTTAACACACATGTGAAACCCTTGTCAAGCCAATAGATATAGCAGCTACATTATAATATTAGTACAATAACATAAGTTAAATATGCATTCATGATTAAGGAGTATAAAAATTGAATCAGATATCAGCAAACCATTTTACATTTAATATTGAAGATGTAATAAAAATTAATGTTTGTCAACATATTTTGATATTTATTGCAATTTGAAACATTTGCATGTACATGTACTTAGATTTAAATTTTTAAGTTATGTTTTGTTTTACACAGTACAGTGAATAGTGCATTAATTTTGTTTTAACGAAGTTGGGGAACATATTGTTTTTACTCTGTTTCTTATTAAGGTCTTCCGTCTTAGCGGAAGACCTATCTTGTTATATTAGGTTTCTTTTTCACTTGTATTATTATTGTTTTTTTTTCTTACCGATTTTGTGCATGCGATTTCTCGAAAACGGCTCAATGGATTTCCATGAAACTTTCAGGACTTATGTTACATCACTTGAACCTTATGCGTTTTTTTCCGTTTTGATGACGTCACTTCCGGTTTGGAATCAACTTTTATGGTTTTTTGAAGGTCGTTTTGTCTGCACGATTTCTCTTAAACGGCTTTAGATAGACACATGATACTTTCAGGTATGGTAGACCTATGTCTGGATTTGCGGAATGTATTTCATAGGAAGTGCCGCACGTCGGCGCTCGCTATGGCCCGAAAATAGACACATCGCGAATTTCGAAATTTTTAACACCTTTTTACCTGGAAATATTTTGTTAAAACATATTTTTATTGCCCAAAACGCTATCTCTTAAAAAGGGCTGGCCCCTAAAATTAAGGGCCTAGAGGGGCCGAAAGTTTTTTCTTTATATCTCAAAAAGTATTGAGAATTTGTAATATGCCCAAGAAGCAAAGTTGTTCAAAATGTCAGGCTTAATCTATTGGAAACGTTGGCGTCATCACTTCCGGCCAAACCGGAAGTAGTCGACGCTATTTTTGCCGTTCTTGACAAGTTTTTTGGGTAACATATGTCTACTGGGAGCATAAAAATTAATTTTTCGTTCGTTGTCGTCATTCCGGTGAAACCGGAAATAGCCAATTTTGCTTATTTTTGAATTAATTAACATAGCTTTAGAGGATTCAAACCATTTTTAGGCGTTATTTCTCATTTTTGTTAAAAATGAAAGCTACTTCCGGTCAAACAGGAGGGAAGACCTACTCATTGCTTTGCAACGAGCTTTGCTCTAGTTATTATTATTTTTCTTCTTGGGAAAATTTTGTCCGCGAATGATCTTGTAAAGTACACATCCGATTAAGGGGAAACCTTTTTAGGGTAAGTAGGCATGTTATGTAGATTTGCGGAACGAAGGTCATTTTCCGCGCACGTGCAACACGTGAAATGACCAATATACTTGAAATTGCCTAACTTTTACATTTTTTGATGTAATGCTTTGATATTTAGAATATATAGACATATTATAAATGTAGATAAGATGACATTGTCAAAATGCCATTTTGAGCGCACGTGCTTGCAAGAGCGTGCACGTGCAAGACGTGAAATGACCAATATAATGGATATAGCTGTAACTTTTCTATTTTTTGATGAAATCTTTTGAAATTTAAAAAGCAAGGATATATTAGTAGCGTAGACAAGACGACATGATCAAAAAAGCAAGATCTCACGCGCATGCACGTGCGCTTTGCTCTGATTGGCTGAAACTAAAGTCTCTATATCTTTCTTGTTTTTCGACGAAATCCTATGAAATTTTTAACATAGCCATGCATTAAGATATCCTACAAAATGATCTATAGCAATTATCATGAAAACACGTGCATGCACGTGTGCTGCAATCTGATTGGCTTAAACTTTAAATAGCTATAACTCCCTTGGTTTTCAACAAAACAGGATGGAATTTGGACCAAAGATAGATATAATGAACTCCTACAAGAAGGTATGGTCACCATGCACATGCATACACGTGCGTGTACGTGCACTGTAATCTGATTGGCTGAGACTTTAAACAGCTATATTTCCCTTGGTTTTCAACCAAACGGGGTGGGATTTAGAACATAGATAGATATAAAGGACTTCTACAAGAAGATATGGTCACCGTGCTCATGTATGCACGTGCGTGCACATGAAATGAGATAAATCAAAAATACACTTGAATAAGCGTATTTTTTAATACTTTTGGATTTAATACTTTAATATTTAGTATATAAAAAATATATAGATTGTGTAGACAAGATGATATGGTCATTACGCACACGCATTCACATGTGCACGCTTCCAATGCTAAAATTTGAATGAACTTGGCGTTGTAAAAGTCTCAAATGCATAGATTTTGTCCTATTTTATGAAGCTTACAGGGAATATGGCACCAAAAGGGAGTTGGGGAGCGTTTGGGGAACATCTGTAACGGTCCCCGTTACAATTAGCACTAGTTAATTTTGTTTTAACTTGGTGGCAGTTTTGTCTGAAATAATTATAGTTAATATAACTGTAAATTATATTGATTTGATCAGGAAATATTCACAATAAGCAGCAGTTACTTCCTTTTGTTGTGGTCTCATGGGAAAAAGTTTATTTTTCGTATTGGATAACTTTTTGACAGGCTACAGATCTATAGCTCACTAGAGAGCTAATCCATTGAAAGAAGCATATTTTTATTGCCAATCAACAGTGTTCTGTTTTAATACTTTATTTATTTCTCTTAATATTTAAATAAATTGAGAAACTGCACACTTTTGTGCATAATGAATCTACACTTTTTATACAATTGACATTTTAGCTGTCTAGTCTTGCCAGTTTTTTCAGACCGGCTACAGACCTGCAGCTACTCTTTTGCATGAATTTTTGCCAGCTTTCTGTGAAAAATCAATTTCATGTAATTGTTTCTTTTTCTATGATTGGCAACACATACATTTACATGAAATTATCATAGTATTGAAAATCAGCCATATGATGTTGTAAAAGTAATTTTCACACTATTTAAAACTTACTAGTGCTGGATGTGCAAAGGGAAGTAACTCAATGAATTTATTAATTTATAAACATTTTAAAATTCTGCATTTAATAGAAAAAGAAATGGAAACAGTTAAATTATTTTAAAGTTGTGTGTTACTTTGATTAATTTTAGGTCCCAATACATATAATGAAAATGAAACAATAGCAAAGTATGAAATAATGGATGGAGCACCAGTCAGAGGTAATTAAAGTGGACTAACACCCTTAAGGTGGACAAATCCTGCATATGTATTTTTCTACCTCCTTTTGAAGAGTTTCATTTTTATCAACTTTCAGAATAAAATTATAGTATGATTTATTTTAGGTGAGTCAATACCAATCCGATTGTTTCTGAGTGGATACGAGCTCACCCCAACCATGAGAGACATCAACAAGAAATTTTCAGTCAGATACTATCTCAACCTGGTTTTGGTGGATGAAGAAGAACGACGGTACTTCAAACAACAGGTAAGGAGAGGTCAATAGGTGGCACTCAGATTTACAAGGTTACCACCCTCTGACAGGTTCCAACTATAGCAAGTTCATCAGACACAGTACAATATCTCGTAATACTATTTTTATACCCCCTTTGAAAAAGGTAGGGCATATTGCTTTGCTCCTGCCTGTTGGTCTGTCTTTCTGTTGGTCCATATACAATTTCTGTTCATTTTCTTTGCAGAGGTTGCCCATACTGAAATGAAATTTGGTATACAGATTTATCATAAAAATATCTACGCCTAAGTGTTTCACAAACATCTCTTGTTTAATATTTATTTCTAAATCAGGCATGATATTTATGTTTATTTTGTTGTTTGACTTCTGTTATTTATAACATTAAGATCATTAAAATCAGAAAACATTGTTGCTACAAGGGAGGTCAGTATTGTCTCTTTGTTGCTGTAAATAGAGATCAAGATCATTTGTCCCTTTCTTTGATGTGCAAAAGTCATTACTCACAGAAAATGCTCGTCTGATAACATGAAAAGCAAAAACAGGATGTTGTGATAACAGCTTTGTTTCTCTAAACTTTCAGGAAATAACAATTTTCCGCCGGGCTGACAAAGCCCGTCGAGCAGTAGCAGGAGAGAAGAAGCAGACGCATCATTCAATGCAACATCATAAAGAGGCTGCCCCACCACCATCATTAAAACCATCGGAGGAGAATTCAGACAGCCAATGATGTCGCTTCCTGTCATGTCCCATCATTCTTTATTCACAGAGGCTTGTGATTACCATAGCAACATTAATTACTTCACTCAATGTGTGTATATGTACAAGAAAAAAAGCTCCCACTTCAAGGTTTTTTTGGTTATACACTTACAGCTTTAGTCGTTTATAGAGCTAAATGAATATTCTATTATTTGCAATTATTCTTTCTAAACAATATGAATAGTTCTGCTACGAAATTGATCAAAAATATACCACAGCAACTTAGCAATGAATGTTGTGCATCATCAATTTAGTTTTTCAGTTTAATTCCTGAGTAGAAATAACTATATGATAATTTCTAAAATGGGCATTGATGCATTTGTCTTCACTGGAGTTTTTCATATTCAGATTTTACAATGTCCATTACTGTAACCCATCAAGAGTTTTGGCAACTGTTAAATATGCTATTAAATCATTGCCTGAAAAGAGAATGTAAACAGGGTATTGATTTAAAGTGTTTAGGAAAAAGATAAACAAAAATTGATTATTATTTGTATTTTGTTAAAAAAGTGATAACAAAAAATTAGCTCTTAATCAACTATTCAGAACAAGAACATGTATATTGTCCTATACATTGAATCATTTAAAAATATAAACATTGGCAATTTTTAAAATTCTCTGTCCTAAAAGAATTGAATATAAAATGTAGACATTAAATTTCTCATACATTGAGGGAGTCACTGGCTCTTTAGTACAGTTTTATTGTAGTGGGATACAATTCTAAAATTCTGTGGAAGCCGATTTTGTATCAAATTTAGATAAAGTATGGTTGGACACTAGTATTTTAATGTAATTTGTACAAATGTAAATATACAAAATATGTGGATTTGCGTCCACAGTCATGTGCAATGTTAACTCATATTGATATGTGATTGCCCATTCAGAACCTCCCAAGTGTACATGCGTCATGATAGGATATGTACTTGTAAATCGTAATTTGTGTTTCCGTACACTGTTACTTATTTGAATGGGATAAAACCTTAACTACAGCTGTAGGGAGTTTGAAACAGACAAAAATATTTTGAAAGAGTATCAGTGTTATGTGAGAAAATATGTTTATTAAAGTGTAAGAGATGTCCCATTGTCCTGATATTGGAGATGAAATGGGTGTGTATGTTGCACTCTGTAGTTTCAAGAATAATGTCGAGTTGTTTTTTTTTCTCATGCGTTCTAATCTTCCACTTCTAGTGTGAGCAGTGCTTAGAAACATATTTCTCTGAATTTTTAAAAGTGCTTTACTAAATTATTAAAAGTTCAAGAAAACCCAATGGCTACTTTCATAGTGATAAGTAAATTAACATGCTTAATAGTGAGTAGAAGTCATTCCACATACAAGTTTGAACAATGTTGTTTTCCTAGAGAAGAAAAATGTTGATGTGTAGGTTAGAAAGATATCATGCTTGTGCTAAATGTTTTTTGTGTTTGTATAAAAAAAATCCTTGTTATGCGTTGTACATTTAAACGATGGTAGTTAAATTTTTGTGTGTGAAAGGATGAGGATTCGAGAAAATGTCTGCGAGGTATAGTTTGGAAGAAATAATGTATACGTAATGTATTTATGAATAAAAACAATGTTACATGCATGCATACTCCAGTATGACATTTTAAAGAAACAAATATCTATGTTATATGTCAAGGAATTGTGTACCGTTTCTGAATTGAAGACGAGGGTTTCATAGGTAGTTTAGAGGGGACCACATTTTCATTGAATTTAATTTTTAAGAAATATTTATGTTGCAGCAGTTATAATCATTATCATTTTTTCTGCGTTTCTTCATTTAATGTAGAACTTCTCTCAAGAGTCTGATTGCACAGTTGCGTAAGAATAAGAAAATTCTGATATAATAAAACTCATAATACATGTCTTAATTTACTCTTTATGCAACCATCTACCAAGGCATTCTCTCAATAATGATAACTGGCACTGTGCTTGCTCTAACGACATTTTAGCTGTAAAAAAGAAAGAAATTCAAATAAAAACTGTTTCACTGACATCAGAACCCTTTTGTTGCCAATTCCTTGTCTTGTTTTTCTCATAAATTTAAGTGAATAAAATTTTTAATACACTTCACACTGTGTTTTGCATTGTTAGCAATATATCAGAAGAATTTATTTTGAAAGTAATATAATTTAGTTGTTAAACCCTAATAGAGGTTTTGAATTTGAGAAAAATAGTAGTTGTTTTTACATACACATGAATTTGATGGAACAAATTATATCACTTGATTTTAAAACATTTTGAAGATAAAGGGAGGGAGCAGCAAATCGTTCGATCGTTAGCATGTACATGTACAGTATACAGGGAAATTTTCGCCCCCGTTTTATTTTCGCCCCTTTCGCCCTACCCTTATTTGGGCGAATTCAAAGAATGCAGTAATATTTCTTAAACAAAACTATGGGCGAATTTAAAACGGGGCAAAATTGTTTGTAAGTGTAAAAGGGCGAAAGTAAGACGGGGCGAAAATAACCCTTTATACAGTATGTTACTGGTAATTAGGTATGGATTTACTAAATATATGAGACCAACTTATCTAGTGAATGTAAGGTTTATGCTGCCAGTCTGAGAAAAAAATCAGGAAATCCTAGAAGATTTTTTTTTAAATTGATCACTTATCTGTGAAGTAAAGTACGTTATATACACTTTCATTGCTGCATTCAAGACTGATAAATTGGATTTTTTTTGTTGCTTTGCTGTTCATGAGAAGACGATTTTCCCATTGTATTTCGTCATTGCTCTTTTGCGGCCCAATAATTTTTCCCGGGGGGGGGGGGTGTCATGATTTAAGTAAAGAGTAACTGAGGGTGCTTCCAAATAAATATGACTAATTATGACCATGGTTTTTTGCTGGGTTTTTTTTTTAAGCTTTTGTAGAGATTTTTTCCTATATAATTTTGTGTATTTTTTTTTTTTTTTTTTTTTTTTTTTTTTGCCCTACCGCAAACGATCTTGTTAGACTTCCTGTCGATAATATTCAATTTTTAGCTCAATGAGGCCAAAAGTTAATTAGTTTTTCTTTAAAACTTAAACCAATTTCTGAAAAAAACAGTAAGACATTTAACTCTGGACACGACATAGTCCAGACTTTTTACTACCGTTTCTCATTGTGATATCAAAAATATTTTTATATCACTTGGTGGGATTTCTTAGCAGTATCCCAGGGACTTATGTTGATCTCACAAACATCTCAACTTCGAAAGACATGGAGTCCTAAAACTCAGAATCCCATGGAAGAATGGTGGGATTTTCAATCCCACCAACTCTTCCACCATTCTCCCATGGGAGAATAAATGTCAGATGGGATTTTTTCTCCCACAATTTGTTCAAATGGGATAAATCCCACGGATATTGACAATCAATCAATTTCTCCCATACGTTGTGAAACATAAAATGTATCCCGCACAGTATGACAATGACAAATTTCTCATCATATATATAGAAAATATACCAACTACAACAATGTGTTTGAGAAAATAATTCATTGTCAATATCCGTAGGATTTATCCAATTTGAACAATTTCATGGGAGAAAAAATCCCCTAGGAGAAAATATCCCATCTGACATTTTTTTCTCCCATGGAAAAACGTGGGATAGTTGGTGGGACTGAAAATCCCACCATTCTCCCATGGGATTCTGAGTTTTAGGACTTCATATCTTTAGAAGTTGAGATGTTTGTGAGATCTACATAAGTCCCTGGAATACTGCTAAGAAATCCCACCAAGTGATCTATAAAAATATTTGGATATCATATTTAGAAATGGTAGTAAAAAGTCTGGACTATATCGTGTCCAGAGTTAAATGTACTGTTAAAACCTTTTGTATTTGCGATTTCTATTGATCAAGAAAAAATGGAAAGTTTAACGAAAACTACTCACAACGTATAAATAGAAAGGTGACATTCATATTTATTCGCATTAAGCACTGTTATGCATGTCTGCCATGTCAGGTACTTTTTCCTTTCTAAGAGTAAATACAGTGTATTAGCAATTGTAGAATAGGATAAAAAACATTGTAGGCCTAATCTATGGAACGCCGTAACTGCCTTATGTGGAAAACTTTCATTATATGCTGGTACTTTATCATTATATGATGGTATTTTATCATTATATGATGGTATTTTGTCATTATATGATGGTATTTTATCATTATATGATGGTACTTTGTCATTATATGCTGGTATTTTATCATTATATGATTGTATTTTGTCATTATATGATGGTACTTTGTCATTATATGATGGTATTTTATCATTATACTACTTTTCATTATACTACTTTTTAATATGAATCAACTGTGTGTTAGATTATAGAAAACGCTACAGTATCATCCTTGAATAAACTTTATTCGGTTTATGTCTCATAATTATATACATAGTACATGCATTACATGTTTTACAATTTATTAAATGTTAAAATACAAGAAAACAAACATAAAATTCTGTTTTAAAACTGGTCCACGTATACAAAACATAATTTGTAATAAGAAATGCCCGATATCTAGACATGGTTTCACCAGCCGTCAAAGAGGAACTTAAACATTTCTGGTACGTTTTCCTTGTGGAAATCGTCACTGCACATAGATTGGTAACATTTCATGTAACCCTCAGTCAACTCTCGAAATTTGACGAACATATCCATAATTTTACTAAGTCGCCGTACAGAATCATGTTTGTGACGATGCTCTAATAAACAAAGCAATATGGCGACCATTTCATTCTGAATTTCCTCCACACGATCAGCGCTTAATAATGAACACCGATCTGGAAAAGAATTAAAAGGATAAAATAATTAATCCCTCGTCTGAATGTTTTTAAAATTTTCTCTTGATTTTCTAACTGAAAATTTTTCTATGTTTTTTTTTTTAAATTCGTTATGCCACATTTAATATAAGTCTTTAACTTCAGTATTACTCAATCATAAACTTAAGATTAAATAATTTTAAGAGAGTAAAGAGCATTTTCATCATGTTTATTTCAGTGCAATTCCCTACAAAAAGCAACTATACTTGATTCATTGTTAAATGATTTAAGGAATCACTGTCTAGTTGGTAGATTATGCCAGGGCATCAGGATAGATGGAAACGTAGAACATTTTGCATAAATTATCCCAACATTTCCAACTATCGTTCATGTCCTTGGCATACCCTATTAACTACATGTTTTTGTAGACAGTGATTCCTTATATTTTCATTTCATTGTAAAATAAAACTTTAAATTTATAATTTAAAAATATGTTGTCCGATTAACTTTAAATACACGAGGCCTCCGGTATCAATTTCAATAGTCGCCCATCGACGTCAGACACAAAGACAGACGCACGAAACTTACATGCGTATTGAGTTAGACACAAAGACAGACGCGTGAGATTTTCCTAAGGCCTTCTTAGCTCCTGTACATTCGCTTGGCGAGATTTACATTCCGGTAGAACGATCAAGAAATCAACTAATCTAACATGCAGACCTAAAATCCTTTAATAGGAAGAGATACTTCATGTAAGAAAACATGCACCTACATGTAGAAACAATGCATGTCGAGAAAATTCAAATATCTCTAACGCCATGAAAAGATAAACACAGACGCGTGTATCTATTTTTATTATCAAAGAAATCGAACACCGCTTACAAAATTAGGGCAAGGAATGTGCTTGGTCTACTTGTGCCAAAGTCATTCATCAAACAAAAAACCAAGAAGCTCAGGCATTTCTCGCTTGATCAACTTGTCTTTACAAATCGTCTTGAACTGTAGGAAGTAATTTTCTGTCAGGCTGCGCAGGCCTGTCAACATGCTAATAATACGAGAAAAGGCCATCATGAATTCGTCTCCATGGTGATCCTCTAGTAGGTAGTGAAGCATGCGCACCAAATTATCCTGAATTTTCTCTATGAATGATGGCTGCTCTAACCTACAGCGGTCTGTAAAATGAGGATAAAATAGAAAAGGTGTGAGAGGAAAACGGGATATGTGTGGAAAGGGTACTTTTGTTTTCCATTTTAGCAAGAAGTCAAACTTCAGAAGAAGAAAAAACGAATGAGGAAGAATTATTGAATTTTCATGGGACTAAAATTTTTGATCTTGTTTCTGAAAGAATTTTTATGTTAACAGATGCTCTTTAACATCAAGTCAGTTTTGTGCACAATGTAAGAGCAGGTGGTCAAGATTTTAAGCATACAATCAGAAAGACATGCAGAGAGTTGAAGCACTGTGCATGGGGTTTATCAAAATGCTTTACCTTAAAGCATTGTTCTTTCTTGGATATATAGCTTGTAGAACTTGAATAATAGAGTGGAAAGGGAAGAGGAATGCTGCAGACCCTTACCTCTAAAAGTCAAGGCCACAGCAAGCGTAACGGCTAGTTCTTTGTTAGTCAGTTCTAGTTTCTTGATAGTCCGCGTAAATTCAAGCCATGATTTCATCATTTCTCTTGGTACGTATATACACGCTTCATTAAGATGGAAAACTTCCCCGGCGTACGTCTGTATCATCTCAAGGTCAGGGTTCAGGGACCGATATTCCAGGAGCATGAAAAACTCGAACCTAGAAGCTGCAAATCAGTAAGAAATAAGGTAAATTATTTTTGCCCATTTGTCACTCTTCTGTTCTGGTGCTTTTGCATTGCAGTATTCGCAAATTACATCGTCGTTAAGTTGCTTGAGGACGGTCTAATTAACAACTTACCTTTCAGCAATGTAGCCTGGTCTTGTGCTGGAAGATCAGAAAACGATGGAATGGCATGAGAAAAGTTAACATATTTCTTGATCATTTTTTCTAATGTTCCTTTGTTGAGTTGTAAATGTTGCTTTCTTCCATCCACGTCAAGTTGTGTCTTTTCATATACTGCATTGTACTCTTCGGGAGATAAAGCGTTTAAAGGACCAAACACTTGGGCTTTCATTTGATACTTGTCCTGCAAGAAGCAATAAACAACTGTTCTGAAATCAATGAATGTCCATGAGTTACATGTATACTACTCAGTACGTTAAAGAAGATTTCCAAAGGTCAAGAACATTCTTTGAAAAATACCTACATATCCGTCTTTCAGGATGGTGTAAATTTCTTCATCTGTAAACTGACTAGAGTGAGGCAGCATGTCATTTAATGCTCCCGCTAAATTATCGATAACATCGTCATATAAATGTGGGTGAAAAATTTCTACTTCTGTTGTTGCAATAGGACAAAGATCAGAGTCTAACAGAAGTATGTTTTCAGTGTTTGGTATTTCCATCTCCTCACTAAAGAAACAGTCTGGATTCAGAAGATCTGTTAATTCATCCGACACATTGTGAGCGGAAAAGTTAGAGAAATCTAAGAGTCGGTCTGCAAGAGATCGGTCATCAGAGATGTCGGACAGTGCCTGCTGTCTATTGCAGTCAGGGGAAATTGGAACTTGCATACAGGAAGACTGGGATTCTTCGATTGCAAATCTCTGGTTTCTTTCTGCGTTTTTCTGAGATACAGCTGCACTAACAATGTCGAAGGCTCTTTGGTCAAACTGCAATTCTGGGTTCTGTAGACGTTTAACTTCCATGATGGCTTTAGTTCTTTCTGTGAGGGTGTATCTACCTTGTCGAATACCTGTTGAAATTTTTCATAAAGTTCATAAGATGATTATAATCAATTAGAAACTCAGAAATAGCAATGAAATAATGTATCACTGGACAATATAAATCAGATTTGCTTTTAAACAAAACAAACTAATGACCAAAACAGTTGAACAAAACATTGTTGAATGATAAATGTTTTTGACTCCTTGTACCTTCTTTCGACATTCCTAGATCCAAGCACTTTTTCATCCTACAGGCTGAACAGTTGCCCCGGTGACGATCCGTTATTTCACAATGTCCGCCATGGCTGCACTTATAGGGCTCTTTGCGAAGAAGGTACCGTCTGAAGAAACCCTGTGAAGCAATTAAACTCAGTTTAAAATTGAAATGGATGCAATGTACAATCCTGAGTAAAAATTCTACATCAGAGCACCTACATGTATATTCAGAGAAGTAATTGTTAATAATTGTTTATCATTGCAGAAACGAGTTGAAATTTAAAGACTGCTATCCAAACTTTTAGTTTAGCTATAATTTTACTCTTTTTCAGTCTATATTCAATACTGGTTTTGTATGCTCATTCCTCTTTTTCACTTCTTAATTCCATTTTTTTTTGTTTGCTCATTTGAAATTTAAGAAAGGTATCAGTACCTTGCAAGCCTCACAGCTGTTTACCCCGTAATGAATCCCCGACGCCTTCGCCCCACAGACTCGACAAGGTGGAAGCTGAAGTGGGGTGCCCTTAGGAATATAGGGGTAATCCGATTTCTTCTTCTTTGATGGAGTATACGATTGTTCGTAATGGCCTGTGTCAAAATCGAAGTCGGTCCCAACACTTATGTCACGTGTACTCATGGCTGCAGTGCGTTCGATTGACTTTTTCAACTAAAAGTTAGACCATTCAATCGATGGATTTCCAGAACCTGTAGAGAAGATAAAGATAGTTCTTCAGAAGAAAATAAATCTTTTGGAACTGTATACCGACTGCATTTAATGTTTATATATGTTCTAAATGTAAAATGACTACAAATTCTTCCACTACAACATACTAGGTTAATGCATTCAAGAGACATGTATTTATCTACGAATTTATTTATCTACAAATCTCATTGTAAGTTAACTAGACATGCAGTGCTGCCTTGCTGTTCCCTTTGCGAAAAGGTGGACTGTTTTTATCTATCTTAATAGATAACGAGAAACCTTGATACCTTTTGTAGGCTTTGTTTTTCTAAAATTAAACCAGGTTTGAAATATCAGAAGGCTCGAAAAAAAGAAAAATATAGCACAACTAAACACTTTCCAATATGTTTGGAAGATAATTAAATTGAAGTCCTCGGATTTTGAATATTTTGCAACATATCTATATATTTTGAAAAAGCAATTTGTTCCAACATTTAAATCAATATGAATGATTTAATGCAGAAATACAGTATAGTATTGCTTCAATTTTAGTAATGTATTTTGAAAACGTGTCAAATTAAAATACCTTGATTTGTGACATTAACCTATGAGAGATTACGTTGCCCTATATTTTCTTCACCTCACATTTAAGTCTTTGGCACTTTATGTACTGCAACAGTTTTTCATATGATCAAATATTAATGATTAGTTTTAGGCTTATTTTATGTTTAATATTATTTGAACATTTTCATGAGATAGAAACTCTGTAATTTCAGGTAACCATTCTGTAACTTATATATTGTGTTATATAAGTTATATATCTTATTGCGTTATGAAACGTTAAATCAATTCTTACAACTTTTTATGCTATACTTTTTTGGAGTGTCATAGAAAATATAACAAGACTGCGATCATAGGGAGAGAATTATCCATCTAATTTGGAGTCAGATACTCCAGTGTTACAACATTATGACATGCATGTAATGTTGACCCGGAATTAACGATCTCTCTCCATGTTTGCACTGTCAGAAATAGCCCAAAATAGTGCAAAATGTGAATAGGAAAAGACGGAAATGGAATTTTTATCTTATCACATGATTCTGTAACTATATTGAGAATGTTAAGTGTGTGAAGGGTCAATATAATGACTGAAAGTTTAGACGATTTATAAATTTCAAAAACTGCTGCAAGACTTTTCAATAACATGTAATGGATAATATATTGATTCAAAATTTTGAAAAATGCACAAAAGCGCCAATTAAATTGACTTTTAAGAGGTAAACCATTTTTTACATGAACATGAATTGGAAAATATTTTGCAAATCGATTTCAGGGCAACCTGACAGTGGACTTTGTACCACAGCGAGTGAATAAATAGAACATAAAGTGCAAAATAAAATTGAAGAAAAAGATATGAAAAATAAAAGCATAAAATCATGCAATAAACTGTAAATGCTACATTTAAATTAAAAACTTACCTATTTTCACCTGCCCAGGTAAATAGTCTCTGTCCTAGGTTCTCACCCTTTTCCGTCAGATTGCCTGACCTAGAAATAGCGAGGCCAAGATAATGAAAACATTGTTTAATTCACTGTCATCTAAAAGTACTGCTAGTTTATGCATGAGCATGCATTTCCAATTGAAGAAATTCAAAATCTAGAACAATGAGTTTGAACCATTCAAATAAAGCAAAATTTCATGTTTACTAAAAATCTTCATGAAATGAAGTATGAATGCATTTACCTGAGATGGATTTGTGTAACCTGGGACAAACATTGAGTAGAGTTAAACCTTCAGTGTTTGTCTTAGGCTGATCCAGATTACGTTGATAATACAGGTACTAAGTTCATCAGCGTTGTCTTTAGATAGGCAACACAAGTATTCTTACGGTGAAGATGGAGATAATTTCCACTTTACATCTTAACAAAATAACGCTTTTTTGATTTAATTAAAATCATATGATAATTATAAACAGTTTCATTTTCATTTCATTTTAATTAGACATATACATACGGTAAAATAAATTAAGACTGCGTATTTAGGTTTGAATAAAGTGGTAAATTCCAAATATAATTTGTCACATATCAAGCATACAAATCATAAGTAACATGTACTTTATGGTTTCATACTTTTTGCATGACTTTTTGCTTTGTTCAGACTCATATGCTTTCAGTCAGTACATTATCTAATAATAACATTATATTAGACGCAGTTAACACACTTTTATAAACAGAATTGAAGTAAATGTACATGTTTAGGTTGAAAAGAAACACCACTGGAAGACATTTTTATTGGTCATCAACAAAAATACTTTGTTAGAAATCATTCTGATTTTACACGAAATTTCTTTGAAGCTGTCGTTGAAAGTATGTTGGAGCTCCTCGTTCTTTGGAGACCTGCATGAGGCCTTTTTCACAAAAATACGATATGTACAAACACAAAAATATTCGTATTCCTCAACATGCTCAAAAAGTATCTAAACTGTTGAAAGCTATTAAAAAAATATATCTTAAATATATTAAGTAACTCAGTCTCAGTAAAAATATTTAAGAAAAATATATTTATTAAACAAAAATTTATTGAAATGTCAAATTTTCGTCTTAGTCGTCAGGGATGTTAAAGCATATGTCACATGTACAGTCTTCGGATTCCCAGGTTTGGTAAACAACCAATACTACATATAAACAAAAAATTGAAAGAATGTATAAGAGAAATATCCGTGAAGATTCCTTTTCCGATCCCTTGTCATAAAAAGAAGAAAACACTTGGTGTGGTCTTCAACATTTAGATAATATCGACGACGTATTGTCAATTAGCAATATTTATTTCCATTCTTATGTCGAAAATGATATTTCCCAATGAGGCTGATATAAAAGATACACCACAGAGTCTGACAAGTTTATATATGTTTCATATTAAGAATTTATTTTTTCCGAAAAAGACATTAATGGTTATATAATATTTAAGGAATCACTGTCTAGTTAGTGTAGGTCCCTGGCATACTATACTTACAAGACAGTGATTCCTTATATTTCCATTTCATTGTGAAATAAAATTGTAGATTTAGACTTTAAAAATGTAGACTAATAGATTTAAATTACACGAGGACTTCCATGCCAATTTCAATAGTCCTCGCCCACTGACGTCAAACACAAAGGCAGCCGCACGAGATTTACATGCATATTTGGCCTCCTTAGCGTCAGACACAGAGACAGATGCGCACGAGATTTGCATGCATATTAGGCCTCCTTAGCTCCTGACCTATCGATCTGCCTAATTTACACTCCGGCAGAATTATCAAGAAATAAACCCCCCTAACTTTCAAAGAGTTATCACAGAGAAAAAAAATTAGAAATGGAAATAAATAACTATCAAGCATTATGATAAACATGATGACTTTAACTTTTCAATCGTCAACTTTCCTTACTTATGCAGCAAGATAATTCATTAACTGAATACGGGGTTTATATCTCACATTTGATACGAAACCAAGAGTATGCTCTACGTATAAACAATTTCTAAAACGAGGTAAATTATTGACAGACAAATAGCTGAATCAAGAATATCAGCAGTCTTGTTTAAAGTCATCATTTCTTAAGTTCTATGGTAGATTCACTGACCTAGTCAGCAAATATAAATTATCATTGAGTCAAATGCTGACGGACGTTTTTCTTGCTAACATTGTTGTTAAGCCTTATATACACACCGAATTGTCGACGGGTTTTCCCCGTATTTCAAGATAATGAGAAGGAGCACACAGCGCGGGTATGATCGGTCGGCAGGGGATTCAATTCTCCATGGCACCTGATCCCACCTCTGATGTTTTAGAGGCCTGTGTTTGCTCTGTTCCAATTTTGTATTGTTTAATTGACCTTTGCGCTTGAATGCTGTTCGTTATTCCCTCATATTTCATTGTAAGATTTTTTGTGAAAAAGACCGCAAGTTTTTCAACAAACTGTTTCAATTCCGCAGGGCCCTTATTATGTTCCCTTTTGAGTCGATCTGTTGTCTTGTTCTTATTAAGCAGAACTTCTTTAAATTCAAACTTCTTCATGAGAAGAAAAAAAGAAACACTTGCTATGGCCTTCTATTCGACTTATAGATACAGTAAAATTTGTCTAATCCGGACTCTGAGTACTCCGGACTTTTGTCCATTCCGTCCGTAAATTTTAGTCCCATGCACTTCTTTAACAAATTCATTTCAAAAAATTCTGTGTAGTCCGGATACTGTCTATTCTGTATTCCGAACGGCCATACTGGTCCCAACTGATCATAATTAACGGTAATTATTCCCTCTAATCCGGCCACACCTGGGTTACTTCAAAGCAATTAACACCTTTCGTGGGGAATGTGATAATCTGTGTTTACATTAGCATGATTATTAGTGCCATGAGACGAACTCGGTGAAATGCGGCGGTGACACAGTCCACTTGAAAAATATATTATATGATTAAATTACAAGTAAAAAAAATTAACTTTGTTTTAACTCCTTTTACCACATTATAACATAAACACAAAAATATATGTACGCGCGATTTACAAATCAAAATATAAATCGGGATCGAAAATCGAACGCATTTCAAAATGGCGCCATAACACTGTTGAGGAAGACGTAATTTTTTTTACATAAAATTAAAAGTTCAATCTAATAATTAGCACATCGTAAATAATTGTGCATTACTGTTAATACATTGAATGAGGTCACAGACGAGCGAAACCCGGTCCGCTTGATACATAGTAGGCCTATATTATGCATGCCTGTATATTTTGATTGAGGTAACATTTCACCCGACTTTCAAACTTCGTGAACAAATAAGAAAATACAGTAAGTCATGTGAGACTATCTTATAATTTCTACACTCCAAAATAGTAATTGATTTCATCATTTAATTTTATTTATAATATGTATATGATGTACTTGTAAATAAACAACGAAAATTTTCGAAATTTATATTTTCCTGCATTTTTCCTGCACTCCGGATTCTGTCTAATCCGGCCAAATTTTATGGAACCGGCGGTAGCCGGATTGGACAAATTATACTGTATATCGACGAAGCTTTATCAAATAAAAAAAGAAATCAAATAGTATACTCAACAAATTACAGTGAAACAAAAGACTTGAAATAAAAGACACTACAGAGTCTGTCACACCTGCTTCATATTTAGATGTTTTACTGATAAAGAGGATAAAGGACTTTCAACAACTAAATTGTATTACAAACGAGATAAATTTAGCTTTTCTATCCAGTCTTATTCTTTTTTTAGTTATATTCCACTGTCACCTGGTTATGATATTTATGTTTTCCACTTATTCGCTTCTCAAGAGCTTGCTCTGATTACGACCAAGCCAGGCCGGCTACTCACTCATAAGTTGATGTTACAGGGATTACAACTGCCTGAACAAAATTTAATAAATTTTTTAGATATTAAAAGCAAATTAAATTAAATTCATTTGTATTTATCTGATTATAATCTTAACATTTTTCGAACTAATTGATAATTTTAAATTGAAGTAGATGTACCCCCACAGAAAAAAAACCTCAATCTCCTAGAAATACCATTCCAAAAAAATACTTGTCATTACTACTGACTTGTAATATCAGTATTTAATATCATTCTCATATAATAATATATACCTTTTTATAAGTTTGATCAACCTGTATTTCACAACGCAGTATGTCTATTATTTAAATATTGGTTCCTTAAGGTCAGCTGTTCATATTAGTAAGTATAAACTACCAAGAGTACAAACAAGGCATTGGCCGGACTTGCTCATCACGAGGCGGAAGTTATATACACAGTTCCAATGTAATATACATGTGTTGTTCACATCGTATATATCAATGGTCTAACGAGAAATGATTGTGAGAATTGTTTGTCGATTACCATCAGTACAGTACATATTGTTGTTCTGCTATTTGTGATCATGGCCTACTATTCTGTTTTGCCCGTGTTGTTGTTTTTATGTTTGTCTGTTGGTTGTGTCCTTGCAGGTAAATTATGCAATGTAAAAAATATTATAATTTGTCATCAGTAAGGTTTTAACTGATAAATAAAATATTTATCATTTCTTCAACAAACTGATTAGATTTATATAAAGATCAAAATATACAAAATTACAATGGTTTTCCAGTCACTTTTCAACCAAAATTCAAAAATCACGTCTCAACTTCTTTATTTGAAAATACTGTAATATTGTTTCATTTTTTAACATTCAATATCGAGCTATAAATACAGTTTATACAGAATCAATATTAAGACAGAGATAGATATGTTTTGCTCAATTAATGTTATACTGGAGAAGCATATGTAAATATTTTTTTTTTCTTATTTTAAATTATGATTCAATTCTATTTTTCAGCAAATTTAATCAAAGATGGTGATGTAAAACAGCCATCAAAAACATTTACGAAACCTCGATATATGTATTTTAATGAAGTACGAAAAATACAGATATTTGACTCGTATCATAAGCAGTATCCCATAATCGCACTATAATACCGTATTGCAGCAATATTGCATCATTTTAAATAAACCAGCGACAGATGCAATAACTCTTACAACTTCTTAGATTTTGCACGCATATACAAAAATTTATTCATTTATTTCAGATATACTGTGTTACAAATGTTCTAAGAGTGTCATAAATCAAATGTAGATTCTTAAAAAAATCCAAAGAACCTTAGAAAATTCAATCCCATTCTTTTTAAAAGTTTATAATATCAAAATTTATGACTACACTTAGTACAACCATTTCTCAAATAAATATAAAAAAAACTTTGTTAAAATTACTTTGTTAAAAATCACTCTGAATGTACAGAAAAGTACTCTGCAGTTGATATTAAAAGGACACTAGAGTTTGTTATAGACAATATCTAATGTAATCTTTGCATGGAGACCGGGTCTTCCAATTTACAATTGAGAATTAAACAATAGACAATAAGAGCCAACTAACAAACTTAATTGTATAACATACAAAATTACTACAGCTTTTCCATTATCATTTTTCCTTATTAATACTGAAATATTCTGCTACAGCCTTTTTGTCTTCCAAATTATTTAATACTCAAAAACATGCTATTAGTATACAATCTTTTTAAACCGGGGTAGACGAAGTACTGACTTATAATTTGAAATTTAATGTATGTTATATATATGTTTATAATTATCTAGTTTAAAGTCAGTAATTCGTAAATGCTATTGTCATTATGAAGTACACCCTGTCAACAATAGAACCTATAATTAAAACTTTATTAACCCCTTAAGCACTGATAAGAGTAGACCTATATTGTATAAGATAAAGTTGACGATTGAAAAGTTAAAGTCATCAAGTATATTATAAAGCTTTGTTGTTAGGTTATCATTAATGTCTTTATATGAATAAATATGGTAAATATTTAAGTATGAAACAGATGTGTCAGACATTTCATTATACTGAACAATAATCATATGTATGTGGAATATAAAACCAGTTATTTCATTTATTGAAAGTATTTTTTAGATATAAAATTTAAAATGAAATTAACCACAAATGTAACTGTTGTTTTTTTTTACCTTATTGTTGCTTTTAATGTTGTTTAGAATTGACATTTTTTTTTAGATCTGATCTAACCAGTAGCATCTTTTGTAAATTGTGTTTCCAACTTGGATAAGCTTTGATAAATAACAATATAATGATTAAAACAATTTTGCTTAAAGTAAAGAATAATTTACTTATTCTTTGCTCAACCTAAAAAGTTCATTAAGAGTAGTAATTGAATGATTGAGCACTAAAATTAATTAATTAGAGATTCTTTAATAATCAAGATTGTTGAAAAAAGGAAAAGACGTCATACAAGAAAAGCATCAGCGTCAAATGGCTATAGAAGGTTAATTGGTCATGGTGGATCTGTAATTGACCATAAGGTAATCTTTATCAAAAACTTTTTTCTCTTTTCCTATTTTGATTGTTTGCTTCATGTGCACTTATACTAACAGGATAAGATTTATTATCTAAAGACATATCGATAAACTGTATTGTAAAATTGAGAATAAATATCGGTATAGGATTTGTTGTATCATTTTTTTCTGACAATGTTCATTTAAGTTTATATTCCTTTAAAAATTATTGAATGCAATATCAAGTCTTGATCAAGTTAATGTAGTTTATAATTCACTTTACTCATTTACTTTAAATTCACTTTACTTACAGGCCTATAATCCCGACTCTGCTGTAGCAAGTCTGTTGGCAGGAATGTTTGTGAAAAGAAATGGAATCGAAAGATCGGTAAGATTTTTCCGAAGCTTGAGTATACATGTATTAAAAATGTTTTGTAGGGAGCAATTATGAATTGAACTGAAAAATTGTTTCTGTGAAATACAAACATGTTGATGATATTCAAATCATATTCAACGGCTTTATTTAGAGCCATTAAAAATAACACCAATGACCATAAAACATGAATTATGACAAAAAAAGGTTTGTGAAGGAAAACAACAAGGACATATACAGTTTAATATTACAAAGTGATTTTAAGAATATGAAGAAAATTCTACATAAGTGTATTTTTAAAGGGTTATGTTGATTAAAAAAGGAACGTTTTATTTGTAATATGACTAGAATATAAGAGATTGTATAAACTAGTATAGTGTATATTTCTATATAATTTTTTTTTTGGCTTTTCTTCGTTTTTAATTTTTGGTGGAATATATTTCTTGACATATAGCAGGAAGTTTACTTCCATGAATGTAATTAAAAGCTTCCAAATCTACCAAATTAAAATTGTAATATTCATGTGCTCTTGGTCAATGAATCAATTCGGTTCCTATCTCAGACGACAAAGTACATGCCATGTACTTCATTACCAAAATTACACCAAATACTTTTATGACCGTCAAAGCCCTTTAATATGTTCTTCAAGAACCCTATTAATAACAAACACGATTATTTTTTAGCCACACATAGATTTTAAACATACGAAAAGATTTCAAGGCCAACAAATGGATTCCCATAAGTTTACTCACAAACAGAAAGTTCAGTTTGGATTAGAATCAGAAAATGTAAGTACATCCCGCTGGTCAATTTGTTCCACCAATCATGGTTGAAAAACAGAAACTTTTTGTGGCAATATGAAGTACACTTCTGTATTTCTTTGCACTTACTTTGGTTGTATGTTTCCAAAATTCCTTGTTATCCCAATTGTGCCTCGAATAAATATATTGATCATTGTACATAATTGAATAGACCTTCTTTGACACAAATTTTTTTCAGGAAAGTGATCTTCAAAGAAGAAGAAGAAGAAATTTCATGACACAAGATGGCGCACTTTGGCCAGAAGGCATAGTTCCATACGATATAGACTCAAGTCTAAGTATGATTCTCTTGAAATCCTTACTAATTGCATTTTAGGACACAGAATCAAGATTTCGTTTTCTAAACATGTATTTTGTTATTTTCAGCCCCTGATGCTTTGGAAGTTATATTTGCAGGAATTAATATGATCAGTGATCTAACCTGTGTCCGATTTGCCCGTCAAGGAACTGCAACTGCTAAGAACGTCTTGCATGGAAACTGGGTCAGATTTTTCAGTGGGAAGTGAGTGCATTTTGAATACGGATATAATAAATTCATTTTATCAGAAATAAAACCTTCAACGACAGACTGTATTTGCAAACAAAGTAATCGTTCCATAGGAATTTGCTAGATTACCAACGGATTAAACAATTCTTCTATTTTCACTGAAAATATCTTTTTAAATCAATAAAATCATTTTGACCAAAAAATAATGTTTCCATATTGAATCCATATTTTTAAGAGATTACATAAACAAAACTAATCCTTCCTTAACAAGAGTCGCCCGCGTGGCGCAGTGGTTAGAGAGTCTGCTCTTGAGTAGAGAAGTATGGAGTCAATCCTTACGTTGCGGGTGAGAATCCCACTGTGGGACTTGGAGACCGGTCCTTCCGATGAGACAATTTCGCAGTAGGTGCTGGTACAAAAAAGATCCCTCCCTGCGCAATGGCCCTGAGTGCCTAGTATAGGACAAAATTTGCAGCTCTCCACCGTCAAGTGGTGGCCTCTCCATATGAGTGAAAAATTCTCGAGAGGAACGTTAAACAATGTGCAATCAATTAATCAATCCTAACGAGATGTTGGAAACCCAAATTTATTTGCCTGCTGTTCATATTATTGCCATCGGTTTGTTTGAGGGACAAACTCACTAAATCTTTATAATGATAGCGTTGCATTGTGATGTGACGATAGCAAAAAATATAATAATAATGATTATTTTTTGTTAAAATATAGTTGTCTTTTCCCAATTAATACACCCAAGTAATTCATTCTAAAAAAATATATTCACGTATCGTTGGTATTCTTTATTTTTAAGAGGATGTTGGTCTTATGTCGGAATGGTGGGATGGGGTCGACAGGATATAAGCTTACAAGACCCAGGCTGTATAAACGTATGTTATCATATTCATGTTCTAGCTAAAGCAAAGGTTCAATTTTCATAAATATAATTAGCGATGTTGGAAGATACGGACCTGAACATTATGCTATATCTTTGTCAAAATAGTTTGGAGAAACATCTTTACAAATATTTTGACATATCAAATTTATGTTAAGTAAATAAACAGTACTGTGTACTGGTTTGCGCTTAGGCCTAGCTGTCACTTTTAATAGAAATAATAAAACAGGATGTCCATACTTCTATCAATGACACTCCGTAATTGAAATGAACAGTCTTGAAATAAAAATATATTTCTTCTGTTTTGAATTTCTCTAGTGAAAAAAGTTTTATATACATGTTCAGGTTGCTACAGCTATTCATGAAATGTGTCACGCTATTGGAATGTGGCATGAACAGAATAGAAGAGATAGGGACCACTATATCCAACTTTATGGAGACAACATTCAAAATGGCGGACTTCAGAACATTAATTTTGCAGCCATGACAACTAGAATGCTTTATCCATACGACATATCCTCTGTGCTTCAGTACAGTTTGAATGTAAGATATTACTACTTCAAGATAATCAAATGCACTTTTGTTTGTTTTATTTATCTTTGAAACCCTCTAAAAACGCTTTTCATTCATATGGACACGCCACCACCTTGTCAGTGGTGGACTTTTTGTCCTTAAGGTCATATGCAGCGTAGTTTGAACTGGATTGGGTTTTTCCCTGGAGTTGAAGAGTTCCACTAAATGAAGGACCTGTGTGCAATACTTTTAATGTCTATATATGGATTTGTAAACCTCTTCTAAAACAATTGTTGATGAAAAAAAATCTGGAATTTATATTTTGTAATTTTTGTACATTTTTCTTTCAATAATGCAAAAATTTTCACAATTTGATATCTTTTCAAAACCCCTGGTAATGCATGCTGCTTTTTTGTCTAAGAACATGTAGTGGTATTATAAGTTTAAATTTAGATTATCTTGAAAACTTATCAGTAGGTTAGGTACCTTGCGTATGTCCTTAACTCGATCGGCACTAAGGGGCATTGAACAGTGTGAGATCTTTTTGTGCCAAAACTACTGCCACAATAAGGGATCTTGGCTTATATGGTCTTATTTGAAGGTGTCCACATCCCGCAGTGAGATTCGAACCCGCGGCGTAAGGACAAGTGTCCTTAATGCAACTATAGAACAATCGTTCTAACCAACGCTCCATGCGGGCGATGGATATATCTCAACTGATTCTCTCAAGTCTAGCACCACACGGATGCTTCCTGATATGTATTTTTCCATCTTTGGTAAATATTATTGTTTGCAGCTAACTGTAAAGTTTCACGTTACGTCACTATCTTTTTCGTCAGATGCATCCAGCGTAAACAATCCACGTGATTGGTCAACTCATTATCAACATTGACACGGAAATAGTCTGTTGCACGAGCAACCAATCAGGGATAAGAAGAAAGTTCCAGTCGTGAAGCTTGCGGTTAGGAGGCGTGTACAATTTACCTTGAGTGCAGCTGGCAACTAGATCGTGACGTAACGTGAAACTTTACAGTTAGCTGCAAACGATAATAGACCTCTCAGTTAAAGATCAACATTATTCAATATCTTCCCTAGTCCTTTGCCATTGACAGAAGTAAACCAACGATACGTTCAAAGGACCCGAGACTGGCCTTCTTAGCGGGGAAAGCCCAAGGTCTTATGTATTACGATGCGCGAGAAATAACCACAGCCTATCAATGCACAAGTAAGAAGAATGTATATAAAATAAATCAGATTGGTACAAACTTAAAAAAATATCTTATTTTTTTAAGAACCAAACAAAAGTTTTGAAATGAAACATACATAGATAAAAATGGAAATAAGCACACATTTGTGTAAATCAGCTGTGCACATGATGTTGTTAAACAAATATTGAATTTAAAAAAAAGGTAAAATATTTTTATCTCATAATTTTAGTAACTGAAGTTAACATAATATCATCTTTGTGTTGGTAATGATAATAATATAAAAAGTTACATTTCATCATCATATTTATTGAAGAGGATTGTAACAACCCACCTTCATGTGAAAATGGCGGGTATGTAAACCATGCCTGTCATTGCCATTGTCCTTCACCTTTAACCGGAAGTAATTGTTCGTCTGTAAAGTCAAGTCAAGGTAGAAAATAAAATTCCTATAAAAGCTGCAATATGAGAGACACCAATCAAGATTTAGCACCACGGTGTCTTCTAGCTATTCCAACTTTTTAAAAATCTCAATTCCACCTATTCCCACTTGCAAATAACAATATTTTTATTTTTCACATTTCTCCTAATGAAAAATAATTTTTAATGCATTGGAAACATTTCAATAAAGGGATTGTTAGAAATACAGAATTTTCTTGATATGAGAGACACCAATCAAGATTTAGCACCACAAGTCAAGAAAACAAAAACACAAGCAAATTAAATCTAAATGACATAGAATTAAACTTGAACCCATATAAAAAGCTCTCATTTGACGTCATTTCCAGAAGTAAAATTTTTTAAAAAGTTTCTGCGTAATATTGTTTAGGTTGTGGAGGTGTGATAAATTTAGAAGCAGACGGAGAACGTACGATAACGTCATCCAATTATCCCAACAATTATAGAGTGGGAGAGGTGTGCGTCTGGCTAGTGAAGGTAGATTGTTTTAGTTTATACAACATTAAACTTTATAAATTTAAAGTGTTTATAATTCATGTCTTCCTTTCAAGAGTCCAAAAGAAATTTTGAACAACATTTTTTTGTTTACCCTAATTTTGCTTAAATATTCTGTTTCAGTTTTCTTCTATTGCGCTCATTTTTGCTCTCAAAAGAAAAATAATAGAGCTAAATATAAAGAACTATAGTACTTTTGAAGTATATATATCACTATAAAATTGTTAAGCACTAAATATACTCACAGTCTTCACATTTTGACCAAACTATATCAAACTCATGGTTTGCATTAACCCTCGTTAATCCGAGTTTTAAAGCATACATGTACTTATTGCTGATATACATATATTTTATTAATGCCTAATTAAGTATTGAAGTGTAAAAGATTTAAATATCGATTACAGTGATAAAAAATACAGATTTTAATAAATCGGAAATTTATCCTTCCTCTTAATTACATACACGATCTTTGAAATTTATTCCTTACAATATGCATAACATCTGTCCTTGATTTGAAGGCACCTTCTGACCGCCACATACAGCTGACAATAGACTTCATGGACGTCTCCGACAACGGTTATGACACTTGTTACCATTGGCTGGAAATTCGTTATAACCTCATGGGACAAGATGGGCCAGAGTACGTGAACCTTACGTTGTAATTTTTATCATTTGTTTTCTGTTAAATGTGACACGATATAAATATTGAATTGATTATGGTTTTATTTATTTGTTAATTATCAGAAACATAAATACAGTCTTTATATAAAGATGGCAATTAAAAAGTGACATAGTTTCTTGATTTAACAATGTTTTTAAAAGTATAACGTATTCCTATTTCGTTGAGTTACATCGATGGAATATCTTTCTATTTCCATAAAATTGTTAGAAATATGTACCATATATGTTTTTTTTTCCAATAAGCAGAATCATTTATGCATTTTAGACTTTGTGGTCTGCGAAAAGCAGAGAGAATCTACACAACAGCTGATGAATTAAAGAATGTTATGATTCTGAGATTCAATACAGCTGTCTCTAGCGACAGACCATCATCTCAAGGCTTCCACCTTACTCTCAAAAGCGTTGGAGTAAGTAAGTACCATATTTATTTTTCTTGGGTATTGTTAAAGATTAATAGAAACTGAGAATGACAATTTTTCTCAGCTATGGGAAATGATTATTATTAAAATAAAACAAAATTATTCATGCCGATATTTCTATAATAGTAAATTAATGAATAACCGAATTATTTTCATGGTATTTATTTTTTAGATATATACACCACCCTGAAGATTAATTCTTAATAGAATTTGATGTTAAATTATTAGATTTGTATGTTACTTCAAAGCACTTTAAATAAAAACATAACTATAAGTATTCGTTATATTTTCTCTCTTATAATTGTGTTCCTCAGGTTGTGTTGATCACCCATGTGTCTTCGGGAAATGTATAGACACCCATACATCTTACTGGTGTGATTGTCAGAATGGGTTCAGTGGAACCAATTGTGATCAAATTGTTAACGGTAAACAAATAAAATGATATTATTTATTCCTCAAACGTTTGAGAAATCATACGATAGACGTTGTGAACGTTTTATATATTTTCTTCTTCCAATTTTGAGAAAAATACTTGATTTCGCGTGTTTGTTTTCTGAATTTTAATTCGAAATCAGTTTTATTGTCTATTCCATTTTTTGTAAAAACAGAGAGCAGAAAAAAAATTAACCATTAAAAGTAGTATTTTAGAAAAGTGTTTAGTGATAAGATCAATAATTCTAGATCTTTTTTACTTACTTGAATAAGAAAAATAATATAACTTTCTTTATCAGGAAATATGAATTTCATTGCTAACTTCGACGACCGCGGAATGATAATTTTACAAAATGAAGCCACAGATACTTTTGACTGGAGCCTTAACTCGGTAAATCAGTGCTTAATTTTTATTCTTATTTTATGACGTGGTGAAAACATATACGGAATGCTTTCTATTCTCATTCAACTTGGAATAATAATATAAAGAGAAATGCTTTTACCCTTAGTCATTTATACAAAGAAAACTTATCTAATTATAAACTATAACTATTTTTTTTACTAAATATTGACATGAAGCATTGTTAAACTAAAATCTTTATTCACAAATTTAAAGCTAAAAATTTGTTATATTGATATATTTCCATTTCTAATTCTTTTCTCTGTGATAACTCTTTGAAAGTTTGCAGAGTTGATTTCTTGATATTTCTACCAGAATGTAAATTAGGTCGATAGGTCAAGAGCTAAGGAGGCCTAATATGCATGCAAATCTCGTGCGCATCTGTCTCTGTTTTTGACGCTAAGGAAGCCAAAATGCATGTAAATCTCGTGCAGCTGCCTTTGTGTATGACGTCAGTGGGCGAGGACTATTGATATTGGCATGAGAGTCCTCGTGTAATTTAAATCTATGTCTACATTTTTAAAGTCTAAATCTACAATTTTATTTCACAATGAAATGGAAATACATGTATAAGGAATCACTGTCTAGTTAGTATAGTATGCCTTTGCATCAACGATAGTGGGAAACAAGAGATAATTTATGCACAACAGGCTTCGCCCGTCATGCAAATTATCCCTTGTTTCCCACTATCGTTGATGCAAAGGCACACTATACTAACTAGACAGTGATTCCTTAAATGTTTCCATTTTCATTTTTTTTTCTCTGTGATAACTCTTTGAAAGTTTGCAGAGTTGATGTCTTGATAATTCTACCGGAATATAACCTAAGCAGGTCGATAGGTCAGGAGCTAAGGAAGCCTATTATGCATGCAAATCTCGTGCGCATCTGTCTCTGTGTTTGACGCTGAGGAGGCCATGCAAATATGCATGTAAATCTCGTGCGGCTGCCTTTGTGTTTGACGTCAGTGGGCGAGGACTATTGAATTGGCATGGGGCCATCGTGTTATTCAAATCTTTGTCTACATTTTTAAAGTCTTAATCTTCAGATTTATTTCACAATCAAATGGAAATATTACAATTTCATGAAGCTAGTTCTCCAAGACCTGGACTTTTCGGAGAAAATTTTTAATGGAAATGAAAGCACTAGGTCTCTATTTTATTTTCATGCTTCAAATGGAATATCAAGAGTTAGTCAATTAATTGGTATACCTACAGGCCATTTTATGCATAAAGTGATCCGAGCTCTTTATTGAATTTCTTGTTATGTACATTTCTTGTAGGACGGAACACCTACATCAAATACTGGACCAAGCTATGCACACTCGGGGAAATATTACATGTATATAGAGTCATCTTCGCCCCGGGCCCCGGGCGATACTGCTATTCTAAGTACAGGATTTGTCAGGTTTGCAACAGGTATATTCTCTTTATATTAAGTTAAATATTAATAAAAATGTGTATAATTCTCAAATGGAGTTAATGGGTGGTTTTGAAAGATATACTTATTAAACTGCGGTGTTACATTGAATTACCAAACGAAACACGTCTATCTTTCTGTCTGGGCTGTCATTTTTATTTAATAAATAAAGTCCGCGTTTTTGTGAATGTTGCAGAATAACCTCCGAGGTCGAGAAATGTTGTTTGAAAGAAAAAAGCCGAGGCGTTAGCCGAGGCTTTTATATTTCAAACAACATTTGGAGACCGAGGAGGTTATTCTGCATCATTCACGACAATAAGGACTTTATTTCTATTCTTCCATGTCAACTAAAATCGCTAAAATACGGCTGATCGTTTCCTCTATAGAGAAACGAATTAGGTCATCATGTCTCGATTGCGCTGTTCCATTTAACACCAGAGGTACAATTTGTTTGCTTACCTGTGTATTGAATGCAGGCGATTTGAGCTTTCGTTACGTTAAAAATAGCCTTTTTAAATTACAAATTTGTTCATAATGTGTATTGATCAGTTATAATGAATATACAATAACAAAATCATGTTCCTGTTTTACTACTCTATTGGGACTAAAATCACGTTGTTTAAATGTGTAGGGAGGTCCGTGGAATAGCCCCGATTAGCTATAAAAATCGACATTCAGCAGCAACTTTATGCAATTTACAGTGTTTATACTGCAAAAGACGACACAACGATGCGGTCTAAACAAGTATTTCATTCTACAGCCAAACATGCATTTGAATTGTTCAGATTTGATACGTGTTTCTGATCTGATAATTTTTTGATGATGTTCTGATTTATTGGAGAATGATGTCCGCCGGTATTCTTTGATCTTTACAATAATCGTGGTAGAATAGGCCATAATTAAGCTGAAAAAAAGTTTTAAAAGATTGCTCTAGATAAAAATGATTTGATTGTGGGAAATTATACGGATTATGACTCTAAACAAAGGCAGTAAAAATTGAGTCAAGCCACATTCTGGCTACTAACAGAACAAAATTTACATACCTTTGCTTCAAACAAAGGGTATGCTTAAACTCAACTTCAGCAGTAGAACGTCATTAGTGGAACAATTTGATTGGCGGAACCATTGTAAGCTAGTTAAGAAAGATGAAGATAACTAGAAAGGATCAATCAAATAAAACTGTAAACCTTATAAATATCTTAAAAAGTATAAAATTGAACCGTAGAAATTCTGGAGGTGGAAGCAGGTGTCTAGGAAGATTAAGACATTCCCTTCTGGTCAGCCACACATGCCGTGAGCCGTATGTATTGATCAAGTGAACGGAACATTCCGTAGTTTAATTTAGTACTTAAACAAAAGCCTTACAGTTGGTTTCAAACAGTCGGCAAAAATACGACTCAATGTTAAGATGTATTTCTAGTAAGAGTATTATTGCGACCATTGAATTTACAGCATAACTTTTAAAGAGGCTGTTGACATCCCTGCAACATCAGTTAATGAATGTGTAGTCTGCCTCGGTTAAAAAAAGACGATTGTAAACATGCAGTCATGCTCTAGAACAGATAATAAATTTAAAGACATAAACATCATATGCAGGTGATAATGGAATATTGCTACTTTAATTAGGAAGTTGATGATGGAAAAATAGAAAAAAAAATGAGTTGAACCAGTCTTAACATTGCTGATAACAATACTAAATTTATCAAAGATCAAAAACACGCTAGATTACACATTTTGTAGAAAAAATGTTTTGAAGTTGCATATTTGATTTTTGAAAATGTATATTCTTATAAAACGAACCCGACAGAAAATACATGTAACTGAAAATGAACTGCTGCATTGGTTAATTCAATATTTATTGGATTGACAATGAATGCCCTTTTGACTCCATAGGATAATTTATCATAATTATATATTTGCAGTCTTCTAATCAACTGCATACTTTAAAATAATATTTTTACAGCACAGGAGAGATGCCTAAAATTCTTTTACCATATGTATGGATCGACAGTTGGTTCCTTAAAAGTTTTCTACAAAGGAATAAATATTTCTAAAACAGTGGCATTCAGTCGTTCTGGTAACCAAGGAAACAATTGGATTAAGGCCAAAATCGATATTCCTGCAGTACAAAATCTTCAGGTATCAATTTTGAAAGTAATACTGTAGATCACTTAATTTTCGCGACATCTTATTTATCTTCTTTATCATGTTTATGAGCGAGACAAAACTTTCACGAATTGTGGTGATTGCTTTATATAATCCATAGGAATACTAATATACGCGAGAATCATATTTTCGCGAGCACACTGTCTCGCGTAATCACGCGAAAATAAAGTTCTCGCAAATAAAAAGTGATTTACAGTATTTCAACGGTGCTTAGTACGGCCTTACTTTATAGATTGGTTTCGAGGGCATGAGGGGATCGGGGTACAGAGGAGATATTGCCATTGATTCAATAGAACTCCTTAGTCATAGCTGTTGTATGTATCTACATGTAAACCAACCAAATACTTCAAATAGTTTATGTGAAGATACATGTAATGGTACGATCTCTAGCTATACACTATCTCCCTTACAGCTTCAACTACTACTACAACTACTACCATGGAACCTACAACGGTCACAACTGTTGGAGTCACAACGACAACAAATGAAAGCACGCCTACAAATAACACTACATCTCCAAAAAATGTTCAAGCTGTGCTATATGATACCACATCCGAGAGTTATGAAGAGACCACGCCTACCATCATTAATGATTTAAGTACAGGTCTCTGTAAGAATCAGACAAAAGGTGAATCATGAGGGTTCTCAGAATTCGATGATTTTACACACATAGATTTCTCTTACCCTATGAACCACGTATGTAAAATGAAAATTATTTTGGGTCCTGGTTACTATGGAAACATGGCCAAAGAAATTTTCCCTAGCAACCGGTCAATTTTCCATGTTTATGGACAAATATATCACTAAACTTAGAGGCTTGAAATTGAATGTGAATATTACCTGAGGGGTTCTTAAATAATGTTATCATAAAGATAAACATTTCAAGTGATAAAACCATGTAATACATACAATTTTTATTTTAAGATATTTCTTTTACGGGCAATGGAAGATATGCATGTTTTGCATTTTTTGCTGATTCAGCATTTTTGTTAATTTGGGCAATTTTCAAGGCCATATATCTCAAACTTCTTGCACAATACAAGAGTATGGTATATTTTACATAAAAGCAGAGGAATATCCTTTTTGGAATTTAAATTCAAAAACGTGTGTTTTTTAATGTTTACAATCGGTTGCCTAGCAACAAAAATGGATGTTTTGATTAAGAGAAAGAGACAAATTGTCAAATATGCGAGTTATTTCTGGAATTAAATCTTATCGGTGGATACCAAAATCAATTTTTAAAGTAAAAACATATTTCTGAGACTTCTTCATGAATCCAGGAATATTTTGCATATACTAATCGCCATAGCAACAGAAAATTCCCCATAGCAACAAAGAAAATAAATCCACTTTTGACATGCACTCATACACAGATTTGATTATTTTCGTCTAGAAATGATGATTTGGACAGGTAGATATTAAAAAATAGTGTTGAACTTTAACAATAGTAATTTTTTATCTTAATTAATGCATAGCAATATTACTGAGCTTATAACGTTAATAAAATTATACATTACAAGGAGCTAAAGTTATTCTCTAAAGTCTCTGTACATAAGCATTTTAAGACCAATTCTCCGTAATTATCAAATTTGGCTGGCAACGCATAGTTACAGATTTGAATTTTTTCTGTCATAATTATAAACAAATGTGTGATTGATTGTGAAATGTAGAAGTATTTTTGAATTATAACCTCGGTTTACCGTTGCCATGGAAACGGGATACAGACTTTCTCATTTCTGTAAATCATGAAAATCTGCTCTTTTCATGAAGATGTCCAGAAATGAAAGGAGATAATTAAATTTGTGTATGATTTTTTTAAACCAATGCTAAAGATTCAAACAACAATGTTTACGGTTCAATTTTAATTTCACACTTGTTAGTGGCCATGCTAGGTACTCGAAAATATCAAAATATGGTAAATTTTGCTGTTTTTAAATGCTTAAGACAAACAAGAGGCCCATGGGCCTTATAGGTCACCTGAGCATTATGCAACAACTTTCCAGTGATTGAATTTGATCCATGTTTTAAGCCAGATGCTATGGCATTCACAATTTTGAAAGAGGCACCATTGATCATTATATTAACTATACACTTAGCAGTTGCTTAGTTTGGTTACTTAATACCATTAGGCAGGGTAGGGGAACAAAAAATGCATTTCAACTAATTAGCAATATTCAGCAATAATCAGTAGTGCCCCTACCACACATGAACCCCTTACCCTTAGGCCTAGATCCACACATTGCACAATTTTTGAAAAGGCATCCTTGCTTTTCAAAAATATTTGATTAATACCAAGGAGTAGATTTCAAACAATTCATTCATTTCCAGTATATAAGTACAGCCCCTCCCCCTCTTTGGTACCCCTGGCCCTGGGGCCTTGAAATTTTCAATTCTGGAAGATTAGGGCCCTTACTCATAACTATATAGGTAGTTTATCTGCTTAATACCCAGGAGCAGAGAAGAAAACTTTCAAAGATTTAATGTATTTTCACTATATAATCAACAGAGCCCTGCCCTAACACCAGATCCCCTGACCCTGGGGCCATAAAATTCACAATTTTGGTAGAGATACTCTTGCTCATCATAATTATGCACTTAGTTTATTTATTTCTCAGGAGCAGAGAAGAAGATTTTCAAAGAATTTATGTATTTTCACTATATAATTAATAAAGCCCCGCCCTAACAATAGAACCCCTGACCCCAGGGCCATGAATTTCACAATTTTGGTAGAGGCACTCTTGCTCATCATAACTATGTACTTAATTGGTTTATTTAATACCCAGGAGCAGAGAAGATGATTTTCAAAGAAATAATGCATTTTTACTATATACTTATTTAGCCCCGCCCTAGCACTAGAACCCCTGACCCCAGGGCCATGAATTTCACAGTTTTTGGTAGAGGACTCAATGCTGATTACAATCATTTAAACAGTTTGACTGCTTGATGTCCAGGAGTAAAGAAGAAGATTTTTGAAGATTGCATTAATTTTAGTGGTTTTAGCACTACCTCTTAGGCCCCAGGGGGCAGGGATCATGAAATTCACAATTTTTGTTCTTCTTCACCCATAAATGCTTTGTGCCAAATTTGGTTGAAATTGGTTCAGTGGTTGCAGAGAAGAAGCTGAAAATGTTCAAATGTTAACGCACGACGCACGATGACAGACGAAAACGGATAGCAATAGGTCACCTGAGTTTACTCAGGTGACCTAAACGGATAGCAATAGGTCACCTGAGTTTACTCAGGTGACCAAAAAATACAATCATTTACAAATTAAGCATAGAAAAAGGAAGGTCAACATTTAAGAAATAAGGTATCATTTTTTGAGTGTTATTGGGATGTAAAACGGGTTGGTCACGTGATCAAATCCCATAAAGCCCGAAGGGCTTTATGGAAGATTTGATCATGTGCCAACCCTTTTTACATCCCAATAACATTAAAAAAAAAAGATACCTTATTACTTATTTTTACATTTGTGACTTATTCATACTTTAAACTTGCCTGATTGTGACTTTTAACGTGTGAAATGCATTATTTTTCAAACCCAATGGCATGTATGTAATCCACTGACCGCGCGTCGACCCTTTATGACGTCACAGAGAAATTGCGTCGAGCGTTTATCCATACGAACATCTATGACCTCTTGACCCCGTACCTGTATTTATACAGTTATAAAAACGCTTGCTTTCAGTAGTGTTATATAAAGGAAAACATTTGCAAATGTAAATATTTTATTATATTAAACATTTTAAATAAAAATTCGGTGGGCAAATGATATGCATAAAAGAATTTTAAAGGTGAATATTAATTTTTTCTGCATTTTGAAGCATTTTTGTTTCCCCTTGGATTACTCTCTTAAATGATTTTTTAATAAATAATTATTACACGCCGGGAGCAAGCCCCTGTGCTTTTTTCTTTCCATTTTTTGGCTTTCATGCATTTAACCGAGATTCCTCTGCTTTGAAAATTGTGACAGCTGAGGGGGCCTCTGCCCTGACTCTCCCCGACCCTGGTACATTTCGCAATAAAAATATAACATCACATGTAAAAACACGTTGATGAGAGACAATGTAGACATATGTCAGGTCAGACAGTGACACAATCTCTATGTAACACTGTATATATACTTAGAGTAGCTTGCTTAGACGGTTAGATGTTCAAACTAGCATGATTTACAATTTTTACCACACTAAGTTTTCCTCATGAGCAATCTTTTTATGAAGTTAAAAAATGAATCTTGGTGCACAGGGGCTTGCTCCCAGTGTTTAAAAAATATTTATTGAAATATCATTGTTTGTATAATGGTATATGATATTTTTATTTATTTTTTTTTTACAATAAAAGCACACCTTCAGCTAGCACCAAATTTTATTTTAATGCAATAATACATTTCCTTTATTTCCCTTAACTGTAACTGTCTTCTAATAAACATTTCCTACAGTGATAAGTTACGTTCGAAAAAACTGGGGGGGGGGGCAGCCCCCACCCCTTGAGCCCCCTGTTGCTACATCCCTTGTTTGGAACAATTGTCCAAATTGGGTATAATAAAACTACAATGCATCAATAGGGAATCAATGCCCTAAGCAGGACAAATACAGAAAAAGTGCCCGCAATTGTCCAAAGTCAATACTTGCCATATAAATGTAGGACAAAAAAAAATATAGCCTAAAATTTTGTACTGTAAATTTCTATCCCTAGCGTTCATAGCATTATTGATCACTTTGCATGAGATGATATATTTTTACCAAGCAATGGATTTCGAAAATCAACATATATCTTTCAAAGTCTACAGTCGCCCGCGTGGCGCAGTGGTTAAAGCGTCTGCTCGAGAGTCGCAAAGGAGTCAATTCTTACGTCCAGGGTTCGAATCCCACTGTGGGACGTGGAGACCGGTCCTTCGGATGAGACCGTATAAACCAAGGTCCCGTGTCGCAGTAGATACAGGCACGAAAAAAGATCCCTCCCTGCTCAATGGCCCTTAGTGCCAAGTATATGACAAAATTTCCAGCTATCCACCGGCAAGTGGTGGCGTCTCCACGTGAGTGAAAAATTCTCGAGGGAGAGAGACGTTTAACAATATACACAATCAATCAATCAAAGTGTACAAATTCTCTTTAATTTTGTATGGTATTTTTTTTTAAACTTGAAAAACATTAATTTCAAAAGATTAATCAAACTGTTTTTGTAACTTACAATGATATATAGTGTTACTTAAAAGGAGGGATGTTTTGATGTATTCAAAGGTATACCCGTATACATCAATACACTAAAATTGTACAACAAAACATAATTATATCTGCACCCCGCACTATGTACCCTTTTCAAAATACATATATATTTTCTTTTTATATAAGTAGTGATAATTGTATTCTTCAAGCATGTCTCCAAAAAAGGACAGAAAATAATGATGACTGCATTGTAAATATTAAAAATGAATTTCATTGGCTAGGCTTTGCAAAATTGTACATGTTCGATAGAAACTGTAACACAGTGTACATATGTACTATACTCCCGAAGACCAAGTGCCCTCAGATTAGTACATTTACTTACCGTAGTCATGTTATTACACAGAATAAAAAAGAATTATGTAATCTAGAAAAAATTGTGCAACTGGCGAGTGCATCCTACTTGCCAACTCACCCGATTTCGTCGGGTCACACCCGATTTTTCAACCCGTAACCCGATTATTTTTTATGACCCGGCGGGTCATGCTTATCACCCGATTTTTGGCGAACAACCCGAAAATCTCCCGATTTCCGGATTTGGTTCGTAAATTAGGTTGCACTTTTAACTTCCAGTTACAACCCAAGCTTAGATCTACGTAAACAATGCCGATGGATTAATTATCTGTGCAGGTGTAAACAATTAACTGGGTGTTGTTTTGACAAATCAATGTTTGAAGTCAATTAAAATGGCTTCCGATAGAACTAGATCGTTATCAGGGCCAGCAGGAACAAATTGAACCAAACACATGTCTCTGATTGAACCAAGAAAAAGAGAAACGATATTTATGTGCATATCAAGGAATCTTGGGGAAAAAAAAACTTTCATTCTAGATAAAATAAAGTGATCAAAGACAGTGTAGGCCTAACTTCAAATTTAAATCATGTTGCAGTTGTTAATTAATTAAGAGAGAGGAAAAATAACTTCAAAACTGAAATTGGTATACTTTCAAATTTAGCAGAAACTGAAAAGGCTTTTAAAAAAAAAATGCACATTTACTTCAGTTCAATACTGAAATATGAAACCTTCAATTTTCATTTTTAACATGTAAGTTAAAGCAAATTATGTATGAATTTTTTGTCCTAGTAAATTAAATCCTTTTTCAATAAAAGAATTCTCAATACACAAATACTTTGTACATATGTATAAAATTTAATCATGGTAAAAATGTCGTGAATGTCGTTACGCGTTATGACCAGATTTTTTACTTTGCAAATCTGGTCATGACCAGATTTTTACATGCTGGAGGTTGGCAAGTATGGAGTGCATCAAGAATAGTGCCTTTCACTTGTTTATACATTATAGAAAATATAACATGTACTGTACATGTTGCATGTTAAGCTTATCATTATATTTGTTATTAAAAATGTATAATTGTGAGATATATGTCTCTTTAACTTCAATAAACTGAAATAAACTGAGATAAAATACTTAGTAAATAGAATTCCTAAGGCCATCAATGTACCTTAATTTTCAAAGAATACATTCATTCCCAAATGTTTGAATTTAATAAAAAAAAAAAGGTTTTTTTTATATTTGCAAAATCTGATTTCTACTTCGTGCACTATTTAGAATACCAGTACCGACTAGATTTTCTGACTTCAGCATAAATTTGCATGTTTCATTAGCTATCTGTTTACTTTACTGAAATTGGGCTAGTGCTCCTATCTTGAGAGAAAAAAAAACAGGAAAATTCAAGAAAGTCGATCAAGCAATTTTGTTATAAGGTGGGGTTGGGTTGGGGGTGGGGGGCAGTAGAAGGCAGGGGGTCCAAGGCTGCACTGAAGTCCCCATTGGGTTTAGGGCATGGGACTAGTGGAGGTCCACAAATGAAAGATGTTTTTTCCTTGATTTTAGGATAGTGGACATATAAATTTTATATACATTAGTGTACATGTACAAAATCTTCAAACGGGAGGGGGGATGACCGGCAAACCGGCACTGGATCCGCATTTGTGACATGTATACATCCTTGGGCCTTGCAACACCACAACACCAACAACATAAGAAAATTTGATCATTTTCTTCTTTTCCGTGTAACCACGGAAACAAAGTACCAGTGGTTTAAAGTAATATCTTGCTGCTTTTGGGATTTGCTTTCTTGGGTACTACCGGTATTTACATGTTCTCATAAATAGGCACTGTCAGAAGGGTATATAAACAGTTCAATTTTGTGACACCCGATTGCACACTCAAAACTTGTGTGGTCTTAGATTTTTTGCGTTTATTCCTTGTTTTTATGTGCATTTTCTGTTTGTAAATGATGTATCGACCTATATTTTTCATGATACTTTTGTCCTATTTTGGAAAAAGTACGTTAACTTTGATAATTTCATCGCGACCGAGCAGCACGGCTATGTAACTTTGTAAGATGTACGTCTACGTATACGGAAAAATACGTGAAATGATAAGCGATCTGCTCCTTATATATGGGTTGTAGGGAGAGCGTTGAAGAACAGGAAATATGGCGGACTTTGCCTTTTTACGAGTAGTGTTCAGCTTTAATCAAAAAACTTGTTATTTGACTCACCTTAAATAGTACTTATCTGGAAGAACTTAAGCTACATTGGATACATGTATCACTTAAGAAATAAGACATCGTACCCCCTCCCTTTTAGGGGTAGGTCGGGACCACAAATACATTTAATCTTTCCAAGGCTGAACTGAGTTTTGCTTTGATCCCTGCTACGGTGCTCAGGTGAGAGATGTGGTCCCTGGGCCTTTTGTTTCAAATTTTAATTGATGCATATTTTTTTCTGCTTAATTCCCTAGCACTGCTCTTTTTGGAAGAATAAAGTTTGAAAATTTTGAAATGTGAAAATGTATATTAATTATGACCAAAACAATCATGTCTTTATATTATTTTACAGTTGAAGGCTTGCTTTGGTTTCGTCCCTGGAAAATGTTTCAAGGCTCTTTTCTCTAATATTTTGTTGTACATTTATATCAACCCCTTTACATGTAACTGTGAGATTGAGATCGAAAGAAAACTTGTCTAAAAATATTTAAAAATGCCATGTGGCGCTTAATAACTTTTCATGATTGCTACATGCTCATTGTTGTTGCCATGGGTAAACGTTAAAAACATTCTGAGATTGAATTGCATAAGCAATGCTAGTCCGAAAAATCTGACGTTTTCCTGGCTTTTTTACGACTTTGATATTTTACATGCCAGGAAAACGTCAGATTTTTCGGACTAAAGCAATGCATGCCCCCTACCGGTTTCCCCCTTTTCTCTAGAATGTCATTTTATAATATGCAGAAGTTATGACCAAGGTTAAAGTGTTTGATGTTAAAATTTTGAGGTTATGCATGCCTTTAATCTAAAAAAAAAAATAAAACACATGAAGACGGAAATTCAACTCATTTTTTTTTAACATCTTCTTTTGGCTTCATCATAGTTCATGTTTACCATGTTGACCTTTGGAATTTAGCGCAGCACGAACCCGATCTTAAACCATTATGAAAAAAATTAAAACGCCATAAATCTATCAAAAATCAATGAAGCGTAACGACATTCAAACTTGATCTGTGACTCACCAAGATACACTCACATGCCGAAATTCAGCTCAATATCTGCAAGCGTTTAGAAAATAAGTATGGAAACCCAAGTAGAACAGACTTACAGACAGACAGGGACAGCTAGATCGACGCACAGACTCAGAAGAAACCTATAGCCCCCTCCAGTTTCACGGGTTGGGGACTAATAAAGTACAAAAAATGTACTGATGCTCTTAAATTACTGTGGTCTGTCAAACACTGAATAATCTTTACAAACATATATGAGTGCATGTCAAAAGTGGATTTATTTTCTTTGTTGCTATGGGGAATTTTCTGTTGCTATGGTGATTAGTATATGCAAAATATTCCTGGATTCATGAAGAAGTCTCAGAAATATGTTTTTACTTTAAAAATTGATTTTGGTATCCACCGATAAGAGTTAATTCCAGAAATAACTCGCATATTTGACAATTTGTCTCTTTCTCTTCATCAAAACATCCATTTTTGTTGCTAGGCAACCGATTGTAAATATTAAAAAACACACGTTTTTGAATTTAAATTCCAAAAAGGATATTCCTCTGCCTTTATGTAAAATATACCATACTCTTGTATTGTGCAAGAAGTTTGAGATATATGGCCTTGAAAATTGCCCAAATTAACAAAAATGCTGAATCAGCAAAAAATGCAAAACATGCATATCATCCATTGCCCGTAAAAGAAATATCTTAAAATAAAAATTGTATGTATTACATGGTTTTATCACTTGAAATGTTTATCTTTATGATAACATTATTCAAGAACCCCTCTGGTAATATTCACATTCAATTTCAAGCCTCTAAGTTTAGTGATATATTTGTCCATAAACATGGAAAATTGACCGGTTGCTAGGGAAAATTTCTTTGGCCATGTTTCCATAGTAACCAGGACCCAAAATAATTTTCATTTTACATTCGTGGTTCATAGGGTAAGAGAAACCTATACGTGTAAAATCATCGAATTCTGAGAACCCTCATGATTCACTTTTATACACATATTGTCTGATTCTTACAGAGACTCGTACTTAAACACTACCACGTATAAAACTACGACGACAGGGATACCAATACCTCCCATTGGTTTATTTATTTTTTTTTACATTTTACAGCTTATTACTACGAAAGTCACATTAATACTTCATGTTTCTATTTCTTTGCATTTGCCTAATAAATTATTGTGTATAATCTTTTAGTTCAATGTGGATTCGAAAATGGAAACAGTTGTTTTATGGAAAACATGGTTCAAAATTCAAATCCGCTTGGTGGAGAAGTTCAGATTAATGCTGATTTACAGAAGGATGACTTTGACTGGACCATTGGCCATGTGGTATGGTGGAATCATTTTTTATATTTATGCAGACCATTGATAATTTACTTAATTCGATGTTTGTATGTGTGATTTATTTTGCAAATCAAATGCTACTTCTGACTTAGTGAAAATTGATCAATTTTACTCTGAGTTTATTTTCAAAGTCATTGTCAATTTTATTCAAATTTTTTCATTCCAGGGTCCAACTTCATCTTCTGAAACAGGTCCGTCCGCTGCCTACAGTGGTTCCCGATACGCTTTTATCGAAGCATCTAATCCGAGAATACAGGGCGATAGAGCAATTTTGAAAACAAATATTAAATTTAGAGGTATGACATTAATAATTTAGACAAGTTTACAAAATACCCTACAGTCTATATAATATCTAAGATTAGAACAATCTTAATATATTTGAAATTAAACTTAAAATAATGGACCTCAAAAGTTACAATGGGCTATAAAAATTTTGAAAAGGGGTCATTACATCAATGTCAGTTTTTACATTAGATAAAGTACGAAAAAAAGATTTTCTTGGAGATGTGAAAATTAAATTTTTGTCTTTTCACATATGTTGTTTTAATCTTTACATGGTTTGCATTCAGAAAAAAATTCTTTGAAAGAAATTAGAATGAGTATGACATCAGAATAAGTCATATCAATATGCAGATTCAAGTTTTTCTAAAAAAAAAAAACCTCTAAGATTATGCATGTTTAAGTTTAAAGAGGGACTCGGACTGAGGGTTGGACCAAAATATATACATGTATACAAGAAAAATTCAATAGAACAGCAAGGCAGTACTAGTTATTTTGATATTTATGTTTTCCCATTTCATTTGAAATGAGGTGTAGCTAATCGTGATATTCCAGAACTAAGTTTTTAAAATTAAAAAAAAAAAAATCCAAAGCAACTCAGTTCAGCGCCATCTACTAAAAGTAACTTTTATTGGTTCGACAGGAAACAGCTGATAGTAGCAAAACGTAAGATCTCAAATGATTTGCATCATTTTTGGTAATAAATATATACTTCAGAAACAATGCAGTGCCTCGGCTTCTCCTATCATATGTATGGAACTGGAAAAGGGATGGGAACACTAAGTGTCTTTTATACTGGAAGTAATGGGACGCTCAGCAAGATATTCAAACAAACAGGAAATCAAGGAGATGCATGGAAGAGAACAGCTATACAAATTGCACCAACAAGTGGACTTCAGGTATGTAAGTGAAGCACTAGTATGACGTTCTTAAAAACATTTTGGGGAATAATTTAATGCTGAAAAGAGAGAAATCCTTATAAAAGGGAGTTGTTTTTTAATTCTTCTTTATGCTGTCTCGTGTTACAATTTTGTATCCGTGGTCAAGGCGTTTAAATTACTTCGCGATCAGGTAGCATGTCCTCAGATTCAATTAAACGAAGTGAATGTTCTTTTGCAAAGTGCTTTAGATAAGAGGTGATAGAGGTGATCTACTGGTCTCGGTCCGTAACTTTCTATTTGACCAATGAAAGGAAGTAGGCAGGCTAAGTAATAGCATATATGCGATTATTATATATCACCAGTAAATGCGATGTCGATAAAAAACGCAACAGGATTGGTAATTTCATTTACCTAAGTTTAAAGCTTTAAAACTAAAAAGTTCAATTTATGGATCTTCAGTATGCCTACAGAAACATATTCGTTTTCAAAATCAAAACTTTATGAAATAAGCCATAATATGCAACAATAAATTTGAACATCATAAATATATATGTCTTCTTGTACATGGTTTTACATGTAGATAACTCCCAGAGATTTCGTTCATATTTTGTAGATTTACTTTGAGGGCATCTGCGGGTCGAGTTACAGGAGTGACATAGCTATTGATGACGTCATCGTTAGCGAGGGAATATGTGGTACGAGTGGCTGCTCCAAACTCAAAATTGCCTCATTATCAGTTATGATGGCCATAATAATGTCTGTTCAGATACTTTCTTAACAGAAATAAAAATGGAGCACAAGAAAACGAAATAAATTGTGTTGTTTTCGTAATAATTGAATTGGGCATTTAAGATAGATAAACGCTTAAGGAAATAACAACTCTAAGGACAATGCTAGTTTTGATGGTTGCATTAAAATCTATTCCGTAATAAACCAAGGCAAATAATCCATGCTTAAATGGAACAACAATCGTAATATTTTAGGGAAAATATTTTTTCTTGATACGAATTATTGTATGCTCAAAGTGTTTTATTGTTTTACGATGATGAACACAAATTGCAATCGTTTCGATATCCATTTCTCCCAGAGAAAGTTAAAAACCTGTCCATATTGCTGTAGAGAATCATGATAAATATTTTGTTGCTTAAATATTTTTTAATTAAAAACAAAATAAAAGGTGCATACATTGGTATGATGAAACAAGCAGGTAAGAATATAAGATTGTGCACATGGGTTTCAAGATGAATATTTAGATGTAGGATAAATATATTAACTGTAACTATAACTCTGTGTATGACAACAAATCTACATTCGACAAAAGCATATTTCACAACGTGTATGCATGCATTTTACCAAGTATGAATAAGTGATGAATTTTTTGAGCAGTGGCACTTCCATCAATGAAAAGTTCAATTATGTACATAAAGCAACAATGCAATATTTATTCTACTAAAACATACATTATATGATGAAGAGATAGATGACTATATACGATAAAATGTCATTCTAATGTCATTCTAATGAAATAGTATTGGAATAAACGTTTCAACAATTACAGAAGGAAATTACGTTACCCGCTTCCAGAATTTATGCGGGAAAAATGCTGCTATTGCAGAAAAATACGCGGGTTGTTACAACTGCTGAAATATTAATTTCTTTATCAGTAACGGAAAATCATTTTATTATTAAATTAATTGTACAGAAAATTTTGATTGAAACAGGATGTGCTATAGAGCCGTGCAGACATGGTGGAACATGTATCCCAGGAGGCACATCCGGGTACACGTGCACCTGCGAAGGGGGATATGGCGGACATAACTGTGAATTATTAGGTAGATATACAATTTTTATTTTCAAAAAGATGTGAATTTGATGTTGAATGATATTTATAATTTGTAAAATCTACTTTTCAGTCCATTCGGTCACCTGCACATTTAACGATGGGATGTGCTCCTTTCTGAAACAATCAACAGACGATGGTGCAGACTGGGTTTTCGGACGAGTATTTAATATTTTCCACGTTTTAAAATGAATTGTTTTTAAAAGACATCTTTCTCACTCTCATTATTTCTCTCACAGGTCAAAACTGTCATTCAGTTAACTGAAAGATGACTAAAGGATTACTGAAAGATGACTTAAGGGTACTTACCACAAACAAAAAATGGATGTGCGGGTTGATATGTATTTTTTGACTGATTTTGATTTGAAATGACATAAATAATAAATCCCTGAAACATAAAGAAATCGTAGGTTTTCCTTGGTGCTTAGATATGAGATTTTGTTTTGCCTTCTATATAATTCCATACAAAATTTTGCACAATTTTTTAACTTTATGACAAAATCTTATATAATTCTCCCACTCTACTTGGTAAACATTATTCAGGTTGTTAATATAAATGTAAATCTATGAGAAATAATGTTGATTTCTGAAAAAAGTTTGTTTGTGTTATTTATCCTTAATGGTAGAGCTCCTGAAATTCAGTGACTTGTCCAAAACTTTCAGTGACTGTTCAGTTGACTGAAATTAAGATGCAGTTTGAACCTGTGGCTGCTAGCTTTCTTTAACTTTTTTCCCACTCAGAACTTTTACCGTTATGATATAAATAAATACATACAAATAAGATGTAAGACTTCTTGTTTTCACATTTGTTCTTTTAGGTATGGTACACTTTCTAATATATTCCTTGTTTTTCTCAGTCAACTCATAGCATTCACACCGGACCCCAGTTTCCATTGGATGGAGTTTTTGCTTATACGGAATCCTCATTCAAACGTAGAGGAACAACTTACATACTGACAACTGCAGGGACTCAGTTAGGTATCTAAATGTTGTCACACATTAATATTTATATGTTAGTATATATTAACAAAATAATCGTAAAATGTCAAGAAAGTAGATTAGATCTGTAGTTTGAACTCGAGTAGTATATTCTGATTATCTAGTCTTGAATAAGATGTTAATCAACCCAGTACGTGCAAGGTCTTTTTTCAGTCACTCGTATGTACACTGTGAATGAAAAATCAACGGCACATGCATGTATTTCTCACTGAAAATCCGAATACATGTATTTGAGATATTTTAGCAACTTACTGTATAAAAAATTGTGATCAACTTCACTTTTTAATACTTCAGCTAACCAGAACTGGTGTCTGTCTTTCTATTACAACATGTATGGAAGCAATATGGGGGCCTTAGTTATAAGGGCTGGCTCATCTGGGGACACATTACCGTACAAGGTGTATTTGTATGGCAATAGAGGTTTACAGTGGTTTTTACAAAAAGTGACCATCCCACCCTCTCCAAGACTAGTGGTAAATATTTACCTCTCAATATATGTTGTTTCGTTATTATAATGTTGGTTTTTGGATTTGGTTTAGTATGGCGTTGCTCTTGTACAGTAGTGACCTATTTTAACATTGCTTGATTTCTTTTAGATTGAAGTTTTGGTGATCAGGGGCCTGGGATATCGAAGTGACATTGCTATAGATAATGTCTCACTCGCTCCAGGAGTGTGTTAACCTTGACAAACAAAATAATGCAGAAAGGTATACAATGTGTAACTCCGGTGAAAAACTTTTTCTCCATAGACGAAGATTTTTTAGATACCTGTATACACAGTGCCAATATGACTTTTTTGATAATACCGGTGGATTACAGTGGTGCAGCAAAGAAATACAAACCTTTTCCAATTTTTTTTTTAAAACAAGTTTGTGACCAGTTTCATTTGAGCTATTGGATATGATGACCTTCAGGGTAAATTAGTGCAAAACAATTTGGATTTAATAAGATTTAATTGAAAAAGAGTATTTTGATTTTATTACTCTAAAACATTCTGTCACTTGGCGCAGTGACAGGTGGGTGTCTGCTCTAGAGTCGCAGAGAAAGGAGCTAATCCTTACGTCGCGGGTTCGACTCCACTGCAAGAATGGCCTTGATCGGATGAGACGTAATTTAATCGAGGTCCCGTGTCGCAGAAAAAATTAAAGATACTCGCTTCTCAATGTCCCTGAGTCCCGAGTATAGGTATAGATTTGAGGTCCTCCACCGGCAAGTGGTAACGTCTCCGTGAGTAAAAAAAAAATCACAAGAGTGACGTTAAAGAGCAAAGAAACAGAGAAAACAAAACCTTTATTAGCTGAATCGTGTTGAAAATTCAAGTAAGACAAGTATCGGTATATTCACAACGCCTTGTGTTCATATCTACGGAAGCCCATTTAGGACCTATCGAAAAATATTTTTGAATCCGATATAACGAATTGTAGAATTTGTTATAACGAATTTAATTTGTTATTAATAACAATTTCTTTGAATTCGTTATAATGAATTTAATCTGTTATAACAAAAGATGATGTGACATAACTGCTATCTGCCGCCCCTCCTTCCACGACGAATTATATTTAATCTACAACGATGTTGGTAATTTTCAAACATGAGTGAATAAATATGACGCCTTTTAGTTTCAATAGTTCAGACACATTTTAATTATACGGAATGCTGCATTATCTTTGATTTTTAGACCCATTCACAGCTAAATTCGGCCAGGTTTGTGAGAATATGTTCTTTTATGGCAAGAGAATGGGCGGGTCTTAGTACAATAGAGGGATATGCGTGACCGTGAAGACCTTATATGGGTATTGTTATTATTTTGCACATAGTCATTGTCCAATCCGATGACAGAACTACAAAACATGCTGGTTTACTACGTTTACATTTTATCTCAGACACGTGGTTTAGGTCAACTTACCTGTTATCTTTTTCTACATTTCAATCTTTTATAATGGTCAGCCAAGGCTGTTTATATTTAATAATACGCATGGAGTTTCAGCATTTACGGTTTTTAGGACAAGAAGTGCACATAAAGGCCGGTATACACGATGAGATTTGTAGTATAATACAAGTATTATAATACTTTTGTATTATAATACTTTCTTGTACACACGCTAATACATATCTTATAAGATTGTAAATAAACTATTATTCCCACGTGTTTTCTCCTGCCATATTTCTCTCTCTGTCAAAATAATAAAAACGATAATAATAAGCTCTGCTTCTAGCATCTTTTTTGTGGTAGCTACAGCTTGATATATTCCACAAGTCCTCTTCCCCTTCCCATAAAACCACGAGTTTTTCGATATCTTTACTCGAAAAGTCGGCCATTATTATTTACCATGTGCTTTATTTAGTAATGATATAAATAGGATGACCCCCAATGTGAGTACATTTGATTGGTTGAAAGTGAAAGGTGAGTTAAGACTTGTATTAGGAAATAGAGCATTGCTCTATTCTTAATACAGTCTTATAAGATTCGAAAAATCTTATGATACATTGTATTAAGAGTGTATACACAGTAAGATTTTGTATTATAATACAAATCTTATAATACAAATCTTACCGTGTATACCGGCCTTAAGATTTTGTATTATAATACAAATCTTATAATACAAATCTTACCGTGTATACCGGCCTTAAGATTTTGTATTATAATACAAATCTTATAATACAAATCTTACCGTGTATACCGGCCTTAAAACTTGTATTCACTGATACTCGGGAATACGTGTACACCTAGCGTATTGCTCACCAAACACGCTACAAAACTTTAACTAATGTATATATATCAATTGTTTGTAACTGTGTATAAATTTTACTGTGATCTCGGAAATTGTACATATATGTAGATCCATGTTTAATCTGTGACTCAAATGCGTAAAAAAATTACCGGGAAGCAGTAGAATTCCAAGCATGTTTCCATAGTATTTTTGTGGTACTCACTCGTAACGAATTTCATTTAGCTGATTGGTCAGTTAGAAAGTATCGCCAGTGCCTCGATTAGCATATGAATTTATTCTTACGTCAGAAAATCTAGTTCCGTCGATCTGTTCATAATTGGAAAGGCAAGCTAGATTTTACAATTTTTAAAAAAAATAGCATGTGAGCGCAGTAAGGTACAATTTTCTCCTTTCACATATAGGTAGATTTCAATAAAATACAGTGACCAGCCAAAGGAGAAAATTGTACCTACCTGCGCTCGTATATTTTAAGGACTTCAAAGAGTGGGGCGGGGCTAAAATGCAATGGGAATTGGATGTAAACATGATACCCCTATCCCTATAAAAGATCTATATCTTTCAAATCACGTTTCTATTTTTGTTAAAAATAGTGTTCTATAAAGGTACACATATCAGAGATTAGTCACATACAAAAATTAGAGTAAAATTTAGACATTTAAGGTAGGATTCTTCTCTTGTTTCTGACTAGATGAAACATTCAAAGTATATTTGCTTATATGTCTTATATATTGAGGTGTAAGTGATTTAAAAGGCCATATTTTTCTTTCCTCATCACAACTGTACAACTTTAAATGAAAATGGTAGACTGTGTTTGAAAACTAGCAGGGACTATATTTTTGGCGGAATGGTGGCGTATGAAAATATCTTCTTTTCTGCCTTTCAAAATTATAATAGAACAGTGAATTCAGTTATAATTTTTACACAATCAAAGACTTGGAGAATTTTTCAAATGTAAGTTTAATTAATAATAAGGGACTAAACTTTCAAAATATATCAAATAAATATGATTTTTCATACAAACTAGAATCATGTTAGCTTTTAAACGCTTCCAATTAAAGTGCAGATTTGAGCAAAAAATCCATAAAAAGTATTTTTTCTCTCTTAGTGAACGATCAATACTTTTTGATTTTGTTTCATTTTGTACATTTATAAGACTACCTTATTATGTGTGAAAATAAGAAAAGGTTAAATGTAGGAAGCATATGAAAATAGCTAATATATCTTAAAAAATTAAGAAAAACAGAGAAAATTCGGATTAGCCAATATCCAGTTTAGTTAAATTATTTATGTAAATTTGGTAATATCATGCTATAGACTTGATATAGTAATATCTTTTTATGCATAAAGAACGATCTTTAAACTTTTGAAATAGAAGTAGGCATCACATGATTGGCAATAGTATTTTTTTTATTCTTAATGTCAAGGAAAAAGATAATGATCTTGACCTGACCTTGCCTCTAATATAAAACGGTCAAATTTAATCTCACTGATACCATCACTTACTGATATTGTCTTCTTGATTCTGTGAAAATTTCATTAATTTTTAAATACAAGAAATATGAGAAGAATCCTACCTTAATTTTCTGTCCATTTACCAGGGGCCGCAGGTCACCTCATCCTTTGTTGATTTCGTTATAACGAATTCAAAAATTTGTTAATACGAATTAAACTCGTTTTAACAGATTCTAAAACTTGTTATAACGAATTGAATTCGTTTAAACGAATTCCATAATTTGTTATGACGAATTAAATTCGTTAAAACGAATTCGACAAATCGTTAGATCGAATTCATCTATATTTTTCTATAGGTCCTGATTATTGAATTTGATTAAACGAATTTAATTCTCTATAACAAACTGTAGAATTTGTTTAAACGAATTTCATTTGTTATAACAAACTTTAGAATTTGATTCAACGAATTTAATTCGTTATAACAAATTAAAGAATTTGTTATAATGAATTCAACAAATTTGTTATAACAGATTAAAATCGTTATATCAAATTCAAAAAAAAATTGTTATAATGAATTAAATTCGTTATAACAAATTTGACAATTAGTTATATCAAATTTCAAAAATATTTGTATAGGTCCTAAATGGGCTTCCGTACATATCCGCCAGGTATGAAGAAATTTCCAAACTGTGATAAGACGGAGACAAAAGCTCAAGTTAACCACCTGAAAATTCATTAAATCCATTGTAAGATATAGGGTGAAAACGGAATGGCTGCATGCAGCCATAGATTTTTTATATCTGACATGTTAAACTTGCAACTTCTTGAAAGATTCAATTGGAAACTCTTAATGCATATCTCGAAACTTCAACACTCGGGTTATGAAATTTTTAAATATTAAAATGACTATCTTGCAGTACTGAGTTGTTGCTTTGATTTAATTGCAAGTGGTGACGAAAATACAAATATTTGCCATTCATATCGTCTCCTGAAAAACAAATTAAGTCATATAGGAAAATCTTAATTACATTCATATTTTCACAAAAATGGTTAATAATCTTCGATTTTACAAATTCATATGTAAAGTTCATTTTTTTATGTTGACAATGATAAATTCCTCACCCACATACATGTACAATCTATACATACCTCTTTATTCGCTACAAACTGCAGGTTTATATTACAAATAAGTATTGTTTCATCTAGTAAAGAGATACATATTTATTGATCGTAAATTATATTATTTAAAATATCAACAAACACAGTGAAGATATGCTTTAATTTATATATTCCATGACTAAATACAAAACACTGATTTATTTTAAGATTCTTGTAGGAAAATAAAAAAAGTGATCAGATTTGTTTTGCTACCTTATAATATTTTGTCACCTAAATGGAGATCTTTCAAAATACATCATATTTTAAGATTGGTTCTAATTATACCAACTATTACCAAAAAATTCACAAACAAATTTAAGCTTGAAATAACCAGAAGTCTCTGTGGAGACTGAAGCTCTACTGGTTTGTACTTATAGCAAAG